CGCTGAGAATGGCCAGCTGTGCAGATTAATACTCAAAGACAAAAAGCCCAAAACAATCATTTCGTGCGTTTGCTAGGGGTGCTTTTCGCTAGGTAGTGGTTATATATGATGCCATACCATTAACAGTCGACGCCCTCGACCTTAACAAGGAAAACGAAAATTACTACGCTAGCCTCACTAATTTGAAGATAACGAACGAGCTTGATTATTTAATATATTGGACTTATAAACAACTTTAAGATATAGCCGGGTAAAACAAGGCACAATATTCATGACGGAAACCTACCTGGACGACATATTGATTTTAGCATAATGAATGGGTATGCGAACTTAACATTTTAGTTTAAGCTCGAACAACGGATTTCTCCCGAGGTGACTAAAATTGTTCGTTTTGTGTTTAGCACAGTTGCAACAAAGACAAGTGTCATTTAATAAAAAGACGGACAAAATTATTAAGTCATACCACGTAAACATTTGTCTATTATATATCAGAAAGAAGGATACATTTCATATAGAGATGATGCTGGTGACGGTGTCACCGAGAATACGAAACTTCCTTGTAATTGTAATATAACAGGAAAAACGGAGCTAACTATTTTACAAAAATTACGCAGCGACGTGTAACGAGCAAATGAAACAGCACGTATGACCTCGCCTTGAGACGAGGTATGGGACATGGACGTTTAGTCCACTCCATTTATTCTTGTTCACTTTGGGCGCCAGTTAAAACTCGTATCTCTCTCGCAGCACTGAGCATAAAAAAAACACGCGGAAATCAAGTAGACGAGTGTAGGCGCCATCTTTCTCAATGAAACATAAATAACGTATGGGCCAAATTTCATGTTCTAACTAAGACTCGGTTTGTTGTATAGCGTCTATGCGTCGTTTGTGGAACTAGTTCTGCTTATGTGTGCTCAATGAGTTGAATATGCAACGTTGTTTTGTGAAAATTGCTCTCTGAAATTGCGCCCCATGTGCTAACGGAATTACGGTGCTACAAACCTTATTGATGATATTTTGCTATCTAAGTTGGTAATGGGGACTTTTAACGTACAGAAAATATATGCGACTGCATATAAGCTACCGTCTATCTCTCTTTAACGTAAAATAAACCACGACTAAATCGTGGTATTTAATATTAGCAACTGTAACATTTAAGTACATTACCGTGGTTAGCCGCGTTTCTTTCTGCTCAAAATGGAGCCGATTTATGACCTGTTTGTCTTTTATTCTTATGTTTTGCTCATATCAGGCGTAATAAAAGATGCTCTGTTTGTATTGAAGAATCGCAGGTTGAGTTACCATTAAATCCAAGTACCAATAAGGGTCACAAGTGACGATTCTCACACAATGCCTATGTAGGTCGAAGTTAAACTGTCCTAACACTCGACAATGTATTAATTGTGCTTGAAAAATAATCACCTAATTTCACACAGAATTGTGTGCAAAGTGTAGTAAGCCCACCAGTTTTTGGACATGCGTAATTTTTGTAATAAAAATCTGTAATAAATAATAATAATAATAATAATAATAATAATAATAATAATAATAATAATAATAATAATAATAATAATAATAATAATAATAATAATAATAATAATAAATAAATAAATACATTATGTAATAAAATTATGTTGTGGAGCCCTATTTGCCAGTATATCGAGGTCTGACGACATCATTTATGAAAATAGTTAAAGTCCACATGTACGCAAATAAGAAAAATACGATTCTGTTTGTTGGGATAAAATTAATTAATATCTTGTATTCCGTAATATTCTGACTATAACGAATATTACGCTTTTAAATAACGATTTTCTTTTTTGCAGACGCCCATACACAATCCTTACGTATGTATATTTAATGTGACATTTGATTAATCTCAAAGAAATGTGTCTAATTCATCGGTTTCTAATTCATAAGCTGACTAGCTCAATGCTTCATACACGGAGGCAACAAAATGTTATGAATGTGAAACAATTTACTAAATATATGTGTTCTGAAAAATGTACAATAACACTATGCCCCCATCTCAATGCACAGAGGGAGGAAACATAGAAGAAATATTGTTTACAAACTTTTTCCATTGTGTTTACTAAAGCGTCATCCTACAATATTTTATACTTCCAGCCTCTCACAAACCCGTGCACTGCATCCTAAAACTTAATTAACACGCATAGCCGCCGTAGAGATACAAAAAGTGGTCTATTCAAACTCTATTTCTTTTTGGCCAATGTCTTGTTTGGGCCACTCAGTGTTTCATAGTTAGTGCGGGAGCCGAAGTAGTACGTCTAATCCACTTCAACATTATGTGTAAGTGAGAAGCAAGAACATTACCGTTCGTTTTGTAAAAGTTGTATATGTATGTGAACTTGATCATGAGAAACAACTGCTGATAAGAAAAAACCTGTCATAGATCGCTGCGGTGTACACCAAACCTAGTTGTATTTTTAGCGCTATTGGGCGTGCTTGCCGTTATGCCGCCACCGTAGACAAACAAACTGGAAATGCACGACGATTCGTGGATAAACCTGTTCGGCACAGATTTTTATATAGAAAACGTTTTACGGTGTGCACCACGCTCTGTAACGATTACTAAACGAGAAAAATTTCATACTGACTATTCTTGTTGTACCAAACGATGTTTGTAGCTGAATTAGCTCAACAAATATTGTAACCGTATAGCAATGCCTTGACAGCATTAGCTTGGTACTTGAAAATCGTTCTCAAGTTTAACTTTTTCATCTTTAGTTTTTGGGTTATCGCGCGGCCCGCCAAAGGCCAAAGGTACGGAGTATAATTGCCCGTTTGAAAACCGCGTGTCATCATTGTAAGTACTGCAATGTCTGACTGTATGCGCGACTGTATGTGATTTCATAAGCATTTTTCGCATGAAAATTTAATGCACGTAATCTGTATTTCCATGCTGCTTTAGCTAACATACAGAATGAATGTTGGACTGTATACCGTATATATATAATTACTATCTATTTATATATATGATGGCAATCACAGCGAAACATTTATATTCGCCTGTTTAAATAACAACCCAGTAATGTTTACAGATGCCCAAATCAGGTAATAGATGTTGGGCCGTGTATAGATTCTTACTGTTGTGCTGGTTTCTTGACGACGCTTACATTATATGTATTCTTTTTTGGATTTGAAATTATGATCATGATTTGTATTACATGGCTATCAGGGCCACCAAATTTCTGTTGCAGTTTCGTTTCCTTTGTGTCCTTAAAAAAGAGTAGAATTTTTCGCCCTATAGCTATTCTGCTCAATGGAAATGTGAAGTTGATAACTTATCACTGCATATAAGCTCGCCCAATTTCGTATGTAAATCAGTTTAGTCGGGAAATATGGGAGGTGATTCAAAAAGAAGTTTGTCAGACTTCGAAACGTTGGGTTTTTTTACTAAATTTTCAACTGACTTAGTCCCGGCTTGTTTCCTTTTACAGCAGTGGATTTTCAATTTCTGTTCATTCGCCCATTTCGTTAATAGATCTGACTTCAACGTTCTCAATGCTTTCCATCGCTAAGCTGGCGTAGTTTATTTATGAGAATAGAATTGACGGTGCAGACTCAGTTAATATAAAAGAACGGGCGAGAAGGCAAATGACAACGGGACCGTCATCAAAACTAAATATATTGTTAAGTGTCGGCTGAAGAAATGGACATTCTGTATCATCTTTCAAGATCTTTGTCAAATTATGTTTTAATAAGTAAATATATCATTCCACTTTACGTAAATGATACTCTGATTTATATTAATTATATACAACATGTGTAAAGGTGCTCTATTTAGTGACGAGTCTTTATAGTTTACATTTTATCCTGGAATAAGTCAGAGCGAAGGTAACACAAGCATTTAAGTAAAGCAGCGGTGGGCCTATTATAAAAGTGAAGCTTGAGGATTCAGTCTATTTTTATTTGCATACTCTTCTTCACTCGAATTAACCCCAGACATGTTCCTCCTTTCAAAAAATATTTGAACAAATTAGAGCGGATCTATTTTATTACTATCTGAAATCATTTTGCATCAATGCCAGATACATCATCCAACTTGTCGAGAGCTACCTTACAGAAAAAAGAAGTAGGGAACCTGGATCGTCACAAGGTTTAGTTGAGCAAACTTAGGTGTGTGTACTGAAAGTCTGGTCTGCATAATGCATTTGCCCCTAGCCTTCAATAAAAAAAGATGTGTACGGAAAGAATAAAAAGTTGTTGAGAGCTCGTTCTAATTAAAGAGTTAGCGGCGTGACACTTGTGCCACGTGTTTAATAACATTTGTCTAATCTGGCAAAAGTAATTTTCCTATCTAGGTTTCAATGGTAGCTTTATGACCTATCACACACGGTGTGCTATATCTGTGCATGTCGATTTGACATTTTTTAACGTTTATTCTCAAAAACGGCCGCAGCGAGACTAATCTCAAAATAAATTCATCCATAGCATGTACTTTTCAGTTAGTTTTAACATAAAAAAAGCCATATTTAAGCTAATTATTAACAATATATTATAAAAAAATCATTACAGCCTCACAGGTATGGAATCTGCTGCGATACCACTAAGCCTTTCAGTTCCGACAAGAAGTTTTGAGCCCCAGGTGATAGTTCTTTTATAATATTACGACAAATTCGAACAGAACATACAGGCAGTACTGAACTTTATATGTTATGGACTGCTCATTCTTAACGGTAATTAGTTCTACTGTTCTTAACGTGTTACATCGTTTGTCAAATGAGCCATGACTAAATACACCAATAAATTGCTTAGCATTAATGGTAATTGTTTTAGACTACATAATAGATTTAACGAACCTGTAACATTGTCATTTTCTATGAAATCCCTATTGCTCTAGTTCAATGGATTGTAATTCCAAAACTAAATGAATCAATGGATTATAACCCCAGAAATTCTCCGTTGGATCATTGTAGTCATAATCCGCACGTTAAAAGCAGCCATGGCTAGAGTTTGCAGTAGATGACAACAACACGCACAATCGTTATCAAACGTCAATTAGTTTTGTGCCTTTATTTCACTGTCAACCGCTGTCTTCGCGTCGTTCCACGTGTCTCTATTACTCACATGCAATTCGCAATGTCGAAATTGTTTGCGTGACTTTACGCACGATTTCTGATCGCCGTCTGTTTTTGCTTTTGTCGTCTCATAAAACGCTGACTTCCCTAACACTCCCAATGCTACCTGACCTGACGTTTTCTCGACAATACCTTCCTGCTAAACAGCAAGGCCCCAACCGCTATGTTATCCCCCATAAGAGAACTGGCTGATTGTGTAAGTGCCTTATTATGGCGGTGAGTCTCGACCTTAACACACCCGTTTACTTTTTCTTGAAAAACTATGTTGCATTTATCATACATACATCTCCACACTTGTTTTTGTTATATCTAGAATTGGTTTGAGTTCTCAGGAATTCAGAGATCAAACGTTTCTAGACAATCTGTTCCATTTCGCGTGCATACTCAATTGCTTTCGTAGCGAATGTATCGGCGGGAATGGGGTTACATTCGAACGAGCTCTTCCTCTCTTTAGGCTTCATTAAAATATAGGCACCACCTTGAAGCACCCACCCTCGCTTGGCCAGGTATGCTTCAGCAGCCTTGACGGAATCGAAGTAAAGCATTCGTGCCATTTCCGATGCCTGGTGAGATAAAACGACAGCATGTTAGATTGAGGCCTATTTATTATGGTGAAATTATATATTGTTATGTTAAGGTTACACTGCCTATTTTTTATGGAAGCTACACTATAATTTTTTTTATGAAAGAAATCAAATAGGTCGGTATTTGTCAATTTTTTCTGGTTACCCATTTCAGCATTAATCATGACTATTACAGCAGATATCGTAGTATATAAGTAGCACTTTGTACTCTAGATATCACAATGAATATTTAATATATTAAATCCATGATCCATATAATAAATAATAAAAACGGACCGAAATCTTTTCGTAGGTCTTTTCAGCACACGAACAGATTTCTCCTCGCACAGTGTCAAGCAGAATGTCCATGAAGAAAGTATAACTGGCAGCCGGAACATCATCCTTACTCAAGAAAATTTTATTGTAGCTACCTTCCATAAGGAACTGTTCCATGGCCACGGGGTGCGAGATGTGGAGATTTGCCTAAAAATTCAGTAGAACGAACTTAATTATTCTCAACTGTGAAATTATGTCCAAAAGCATTTCTATTTTAACAAGATTGGAATATCCAGCGCGTTAAATAACCCACAATTATCGTAGATGTAAAGCAAGTTGATTACCCCTTATTTACTGAAAATGCATACTCCTACGAATTGAGTCTAATTGGTAGTTTTTCCTTCTTACATGTTATTCAAAACGGCCTTCATTTTCTTCATTTGTTTCTTTTGGCGCTTTCATATTTCCCTTATTTACACATTCGGTTTTACTTTTTTTGAAAACGTTTAACGCTTCATATAAGAATTCGTATTCTTACCGAATATTTTTAATTGACTTTACTGACCAATAGATCTTAAATTATTTCTTTTGCTGTTACTACTTACCTGAATTTCCTTGGGCGGAAGAAGTTCGAGTTCAGTGTGAAATTCTGCTACACGGTTCTGAGCTAGAAGGCACAGTAGATTAAGCCCCAACAGCTGATACTTGAACGACGATTCAGGAAGGTCGTTTCTGCAAAAGCAAACATTCACACTTCTCGTCAGTCCATAAATATTCCTGTGTACTTCTTGTAGGTGTACTTGTGTACCGTCTATAAACATTTGTTTCAGCAAAACAATACATTGGCCCTTGCTGAAGACTCCGATGAACAGGTATGAGATACAAATATGCAGTTATTTCGACAGTTACCTGTCATCTATTATATTTGAGTGTTCTATCCTACGAACGTCAGCGTAAAAGTCTATGATAACAAATAATACAGCATCTATGATAAATCTACAATTGTTTTATTTTATGTCATTAGAGATGTAATTACTTGTAATCCATGTAGTAGGTCTTTAGCATAGCGAGGTATCTCTCGAAAGATGGAATGTCCCGCGAGGCGCAACTCCATTGAGCCCCAATCTCGAGGATATCCCGAGCCACGAGCAGTTCCTTTTTATTTGCCGAACCTGTTGTTGGGAGGAACGCACAATGCGTCAAACCGATCTGAAACAAACACAAAAATAAACAGAAAAAATTTATTATTAAACAGAACAACGCTTTGGGCACTAGAAATTTTTCACAGTGCCTCTATTGAAATTCATAAGCTGCTTGCGAGCGTATGAGAAATCAAGTCATGAAAAACTTTCTTCTGCTAAGAATCATTAACTGGTGTAATTTTTGCACGAAAATTTTTATCAAACCTACAAGAATCTTTAACATCTAAAATACGCGCTAGAACTTTATTAAAATCATCGTACTATGTAGAAGTCAAATCCCTTGTTAAGGCGGGTAAAAAATAGATTTCGGATTAACCGACGTTCTACCTTATTTTCTGGCCCATGCACATGCCGTGGCACCACATCCGAACTCGCACATTATATTGTTAACAGCAGACAAATGCGAACGTGTTAAAAACTCAATTTGAGTTCAGAGATCAGTGGCCAAACAGAACAAGGAACAATTCCCATCCTCCCATAGATAAAAGTCACCTTTTGAAGAAATAATGGACATCTTTAAAATAAAAGGTGTTTATTGCATAATCAGATAACTAGTACTAACTCGTGATTAATTAGACTACAAATAAGTGCAGGATAATAATAATAGAGTACAGGAAAAAGTACTCCATTTTCTACTACACCGCTTTTTCAAATATTATGATTTTGTTGCATAGATTCCATAATAGTTATATTAACCTAGGGAATTATCTATAATCAAACTATCGCTATCTACATTCACAGAGTACTTTAACATCTATACAAGGTCAGAAAAGGGAATTATCTCTAATCAAACTATCGCTATCCACATGCACAGAGTACTTTAACATCTATACAAAATCAAAAAAGGAATTATCTATAATCAAACTATAGCTGTCCACATGCACAGAGTACTTTAACATCTACACAAAGTCAAAAAATGTTATTTTTATTATATAACAATTTCTGGTTGCTCCAATCATGTCTTATAGATTTGAAACGCAAGGCATTACATTTTAGTAAGATTAACGGCGACAACTCAAATTTACGAAAAGCAACCTGAAGGAGCAAAAAAAACGTTGGCTAAGAAATTATGCGTTGATAAAATGACAAAACGTGGTTTTTTTCTGAAAGACTAGAGTCCGCTATCATAATAAATGAAATTCTTACCTCACAACTACGTTCTCGAATAAGATACGTACATTTTACACTGTAATTATTGTTCATCATTTAAAATTACTGGATCTAAATATTTCTCCTGAATCCATTTTTTTATAAAAACCACTTCTGTTATTTAAAGGTTTCGTTATTTTTAGGTAAACGCTTATATACAATGTATTAGATAGCAATTGTCTACCCAGAACTTGTTGGAGGAACACCAGATTTTCTATGTACGATGGAGTACATTGATAACTCTTACCTTAAGTTTATTCAAGAGCTGACCACACTTCTCAATGTAGTCCGGTCGTTTTGAGTTCCATTCCTTCATCAGCAGTTGATAACACGAGACAACTTCGTCGAGCTCCATAATTCTGCCCAGTGAAGCTCAAGACGATAAGAGTCACTTATAACACTACGGTGACTAAAAAAGATTCTAAAGCTTTCAGGCGATTCAAATAACCACAGAGAGAAGTAGACTTGCCGACTCACAGTGTTATTGTTCGAATCAGCGACGGGGGCTAGTGTCATGTCCCTATGCTGCGAATCACACAACCCTCGTCTATCCGAGTGGAATTGTTATATTTGGAGACACCTTTGTGTGGCACAGTTTAAATATGTTATCAGTCCTTCATTATAGAATGTTGAGTATCAAATTCATAGATTTCTGCGTAGGCGAGGGCTAATGATCCGGCAACGCGGGCAGTTCAAATTTGATAAACGTGCAGATTTTCGAATAGAACAAACAGTCGCGCTATTCCTTTTTTGAAGCAAGCTTGATGATAACAGCACACAAGATACTCAGGTTAAAAAGCTTCGTTTTCCTTTTACCATAAATAAACATGGTTGAGCCAGTCCTCTACTTTGAAATTAATTTATATATTTGTTTTTGAAGCCGTCGTAAAGTTTAGTTATATAATGTGTTACAGAGGCCAGCCACAGCTACTCATGCCTAAATAGACATGTCGGCTCAATTCCACATGGTCATTATTAAGCTGTCCGTGAGACGTAATATGCCGGATGCGCAAATATCAGAGTGAAGGATTGGGTGACAAGCTTTAATGCAACAATGCCTAATACCATGATATACTAAAAGATTGATAAAAGGCAAGCGCTTGTTGTCGTTATTCCTTTTAAAATCGTCGCCATAAATGAATCACAGGATCGCACTACTGCTGCATTATGTCATCTTCAAACAAAAAAGGCCTAACTAATTTTTAGGCGCCCGGCAAAGAAAGCAGTTCTTATGTTTAGATGTTTTATATTATACCACAAATTTAATTTTTTTGGACGCTATCGTGAAATCAGGACTAAAATGGTAGATGCTCTAAAATGGATAGCAAAAAATAATTATACAAAAATCCTAAAACGGAACGCTTTTAAATTTTTAAAACGGAACGCTTTTAAATTTTCATAAAAAATATAAGTCGAAGGTTTTTGGAGAGTTCATTTTCTGTAAGCTTCAGTCATTCGGTTATGAGCACCAAATAGGTCTCAATACCTAATGAAATTATTTTTATGCACCTGTATTTACCAAATTCAGTAAATTAAATAAATGAAAATCGATATTTCACGGTTTCACCTCAAAAATCTGGTCTATATAATACCTAGAAGAAAATACTGCGTTTACGGAAGCATGGCGGCTATACATTGTTCTTAAAATAATTTGATTATTTGTTTATTTAGTAGTTTCGAGGGAGGGTATAGTTTTCGCAATGATTACAACTTCCTACAGATTTCATTAAACGGTTTGATACTGAATATATCGGTAAGATCTACAAATATATCATATGATGATATTGCGTAGCAAAACGAAGTTATAGGCGTATGCAAAAACAATCTCTTTGAAAACAATTATCGATTATTTATATCCTGTTGTATATTTGTATGTGTGTACTCTTCATGCTCACAAACGTTTACTTAGCTAATATTATTAATATTACCATCCTTTTATTACACATCGGCTATACAGTCTAGTAATAAAGGTCCATACATAGCAGATGATCATCCATATTTTCTTTCAATTTATCCTACCTTCCTCTCTGTCTATTATTCATTTCGTATTTTATTAATAATCATACTAATAATAAGAATATTCATAATAATGCAATAAATCACTACTTATTCTTGCCATTTCATACAACTTCTTACAGCTTTGTGGTGCCCGCAAATTATTTTATCGCCCATTATTTCCATGATAATACATAATCATAAAACTAACGAAATCATTTGTACAATGAAATCATGATATTATACTAATATTTAGTAACGGTACCTGCAAACACACGAAAATGCGCTACTCGTACCAATGAGCTCTGGCCGACATGTTTATTAAGTTGCTTTATTTTATTAGCGATACACATTCCATCTCTAAATTACGTTACATTATCTAGTTGTTGTTGGTTGGTCGGTTCGTTGAAATTTTCCTTATGTTTATTCAACAATGCCGGCCGGTCAATCAGATGGTTTGCCTGTTTTGCTGCGGTGCGCGCACTTGCATTTGTAGATATTTATGTTTATATATGTATATATAATAATACGTAAACAGACGTTCGAAAGTCGTTAATAGAAAACATTGCTATGTACAAAGCGGTTTGGCAGACGGAGAACGAGATTCTGACCCGGTAATTAGCTGAGTTGTGGTTTCTATTTCATTCGCTGTTGTTGCCATTGTTAATTGAAGCGACTCAGATATTTTTCCGGTTAGCAGTTAACACTCGAAAAACGTACTCATGTTAGATTCGTTTCAGTTTGGAAAAAAGTAAACACTAAAAACTAGAAAGAATGCAATCGCATTTTAACAGCTGATGTTCTCGTGTTTAAGCTTCGTCCGCTTCTACGTAGTTCAACGATTGTAATAAACGTTCGGGTTTCGATGCCTGACAATAGGAATACCGATTTTATCTATTTTCACAATTGACTTGCGTCTCGTTCACTCACCGTTGTTTCGGTTCTTCACATTATGTCGTATGACGTTGCCCCGTGGAAGCCGCCTTCAGGCTTCAGCTGAGTTACTTGCGCTTAACTAGTTTCACATTGGCTGAATACGTAAAAAAAGTTGCTTTGTTTTGCTTTCGTGACACGTGCTAGCAAATGAATTTGCTATCTTTTAACATACATATGAAATATTTATAATGTTTCCATTCATCGCAAGTTGTTACCTCAAAACTTCCTGGCGCTGCCCCAAGTCCTCAAAGCATATTTCCCCAATCAATGTTAAAGGAGAATGATTTTATTCGCATAGTTTTTTCGTTACAGTTGACCATCGGCGTTAACTTCTAACTAGGAACGGCTTCGGCCGGTGTCAGTTTATGCGATGCAGACTGCGCCGCCTGTTGTTGTTGCTGTTGTTGTTGTTGTCCTTCGAGAATGGCGTGCGCCATACGGTCGATGTCGTCTAAATTCAGGGACTGCAGACCAGCTTCGAAATCCTGCAAATCAGTTCATAGTGGACCAAGCATATTAAAATAGGTAGAATTGTTTTCCGCCTAGCTCCGATACAGGTTGAGGATGAAAATGTGTAAACAAGGAGAACAGATGTGATTGTCTGTTGGAAACCAAGCCCTATTCAGTCATCTTAGCACTTTTATTAGTCGTCAATTAGAAAACGGTTTATACCTTTTTGTACTCATCGATAATTTTGTCAACGTCTTCAGGCACGAAATGCCGACGCAAAAGGTCGCTTAGAAGCGGCCAGAAATCGACGCTGGATGAAGCCTTGGTTGAAGTGGCAGGTGATGACCCCGACGAAGACGAAGACGGCGTTGGAGTGGACGATTTGGTGACAACCAAATGAACTTTAGCGCCTGCGATGCGTTAACAAAAATAAAAATCAATCACCACTTGCTTTTTGTACATGTTTCCCGGGCGAAATCTACTTTTATATGCCAGTTTCACGGCTCGTCTACATAGAAAGGAAGCAAAACTGTTCTATGCTCATAGTATAATTTGTCTCATGATATCTACCATTAATTTGCACATACAATCTACTCGAAATAAACATATCTGTCTTATTAGAAAAAGTGCAGTGGTTAAGCGAGGATTTTCGCTACCCACCCTCTTCAAGCGTGTGTTCACCGACTTTCGACGTATCCACCAGTGTTTTGCCTTTGAACACCAATTTTTGTTTCTCCACGGGGACATTCATTTTAACCGAAAGTTCCTTTTTCACGTCCTGAATTGACGTCGACGACTGAACCTGTAAACACCATTGAGATTTTATAACTTGTAATTGCCTCCTTCATATGTTTCCAACTGCAATAGCAAAGGTTTTTCTCCTACAAAAATAGATGTTGAAAAAATATGAAAAAAAGGGCAGTCGATGTCCTTAGCCGTTAAGTTATTAATGCACAAGACTGATGATCACCTAAATACTACCGCTCGAAATGCTAAAAAGCTGGATAAAGCTTAGCACGCTTCTGCAATATCTTTCTTCGTTTAGTAAATGATATGTGAAACTGCTTGTTGATTTGCTGCTTTAGCCACAACGTGTATACGCATCTGATCTTCTATTTCTAACGATTTAAAAAATAATATATCGAGAACGATTGAATTGATAGTGCGTTTATGATAATAGTGATTGTTATTATTACTATTATTATTATATGAGTGTGCCCAATAGCAAAACAAGTATTGAGTTAAATGTCTAGTTTGAGTTCCTTATACATTAAAATATACATATGGTACAAACGATGGTAACAGTCATCAGCGACATTTTACTTATTTGATAGAGGGATTCTCAGGAAGAAGTGGCAAACTTCACGACGGCCGAATACGGTAGCAACAGATGCCTGGATTATTATACTTTAGACACTACACAAATCTTAAAAACCAATAACCAAATTGTGATTTGGATTAGCATTTGTCAGAAAGTCGATAATCAAAGCTCAATAAAGATCGAATGCCAAATTATTTAAGCTATTCTCAGATTCATTTAATGTTCATCATGATCGGTCAGCCAGACAATTTAGAAGAAGATACAAATTGCTATTCTATATAACATTGACTTATTTTCCGACAAGTATAAGACTACTTTCTAGACAGGACTCTATGAAAAGATGGTGTTAAATATGTTCGCATGCTCTATGGGAAGTGAAAAAAGCAGGGCAAAAAATAATATCTAAACAAACAAAAAACTAAAATATAAGAGTAACAATTATATTGTCGTATAACCAATTAAATCAAAATCATTGTATTGCAGTCATATAGGACTTCTGCAGATTTAAACCAAAGTTAAACTAAACCAAGTGAGCTGAAATCCATCTGAAATACCCAAAAAGGCTACTGGGCTGGATCATGAAAACATTGAGGGTGAAATCAAATTAATATTATTATTATAAGATGATAAAGACACTAACTGACAGTCATGATTATGAATGGGATCACTATGCAACAACATAACGAACCAAGAAGTAAAGTAAATGTAGTTTCAACGATTATTGTTAGCTGATTCAACGAATCGCACTCCTACGTTCTTCATTATTTGCTATTGATTAAACCTGCGCGTTGAGCAAAAAAAAACTCAATAACACTTGTGAGAAACGTAAAAAGAGTTGCAACTTGAAATTCAACTTACAATGTTTTGCGTCAGCTTTATCTACATTCCATTGTAGCCTGCCGATTCGGTCTATAAAAACAATGCTTCTCTACGAGTATCTTGTTTATATTTAAGTTATTCTCTACCTAAAAAATATTCAATGCGATGACAACACACACCTCTATGGTACATTCCTCTCCACCCAAGATCTTCACCGTGATTTTCATGTTGGCCTTCTTCCTAAAGCCTTGTGCGCCCCCCGATTTCAATAGTAGATAGCAAATTTGACTATATAAGTGTTGTCAGTAAGACAAGCCAGCTCGTTTCCTTCCCGTCAACCAAACGGTGCGATACCAGCAGTATTCGTCGCACAGGTCACAGGTCGATTAGCGGTAAACACCACACCAGGCATAAGCAGGCACCATTCACAACACTTTCACGGACTGTGAACGAAGAAATCGACGGCAAGTCAACGCTGCTTTCCTCACTATTAAGTACAGGGCTGTGGTGCGGTGTGTATCTCGTATCCCAATGAATCGGAAGCAGCGCGGCCTGATGATTCGTTCGGTCAGGGCACGAGCGAGAGATGGTGCCGCAGACCGACTCAGGTCGACAGCTGATTGTAAACACTCGAACAATAGCCGTTATGGGGCCAGCGAGAGATAAAGAGGTGGCATAGGCTGTCTTAACTGCGTTAACTGGATTGGTGCGAAATCGTTCGCATTCTATGCTGCACTATGTCGTAGCGTAGCGCTACTTACCGTGTTATAAACTGGTAGTTCATTTATCAATACCTTCTGCATTGAATGCAATATCCCAGCACTGCTTCTCTGCATCAGGAGCGCGGCGCTTGCGACATATCATCCAGTCGGCGCTAGCATCGTTTTTGGCTTGTTTCGATTCACTCTCTCACGCAGTGGCGCAAAATCTCTGGCCGCTCAACGCGAGCCGCGCCAGCCAGCTAGCCTTCGGTATCTCGGTATTTAGTCGTCGATGGTGAAACACAATCTACAGGATATAATTTAGTGGCAATAGGTCTGCTAAAAGGCTGAATAGATGGGTGAGTGGCCGAGCACAGCCTGATTTCTTGCAGGTGTGGTCGACATGCGGGGTATTGCCCAGTCAGGGATCCGTCGAAGAGGTTGTCTGTACCATGCATGGAACTCCTTTCCGTACTTTCATAGCAACTCCGTTGTTTCGTAGCATAGTGTACTCTCTCAGTAGTGTTCAAGCACTTGGTGCTTTATTCATTGTTAGATCAACTCGATCTAGCGAATTGTGTGAGGTTCGTGTCACGAAGTCTTCAATCCTCAACCTCAGACTATTACAGGTTAGGTAACACGTAGCAGCCATAGAAAGCAGGGGGTTTCATTGTGGCGGATACGTACGTTGTGGGTTGAATGTACGCTCTACATAGCCTAGGTTCTTTGTGAGTGAATTTCTGTGCTCAAGCGTGACGTAAAACAATTAATTGGATCGTTGGCAGTATCCGTAACGAATATACTGCTGCGTTTTAATATAGTACAGTGGCAGTGGTTATCACTGCCGCAGCTCATTTTGTCGTTCCCAAATCCAAGTCACCAGTACAGTCATCTCGGATGCGTCTAGTAGTAGCTCTATGGCCATCTTGAATCTCAACTGAACACATAATTGAGAAGTTCATTGAAAGATTAAGTTCATTTGCCATTTAGTATGCGGAAAAAAGAAAAAGTTAATAGTTCCCGTAAAAGCGCGACTGAATCGTACGGTTACGGGGTGGTAGCTGCACGCTAATAAGGAAACAAATACGAGCCGTGTCTGTCGAGTGGCATTCGGTGAGGAAAAGTCATGCTGACAGTATTTGAGACCTGGCAAGGGGTTACGGTGCTGCGCATTAATTTGCATGGCCGAGTGAGTAAAAGAGCCGATTAGCCAACAGATCAGTGAGTCTTACAGAATTTCGCCTAATCGTGACCATCCAAACAGCCATCATCAGAGAAGAGTAGCGCTCTTCTTTAATGCCTCAGCAGTATGCACGACAAGAATGACAATCTAGGCATGGCTGATGCGCGGCTGTAAGCAGAATGCTATTACCTAACAAGTTACACGTAGTAGTTATTGTGTACGTGGTGTTCACCTCGCCTTGTCTGCTAACATATCCCACTAAGTATTGGATTTGTAAGAAGAATAATATTATATATTCGCATTGTACGTTTATTTCTATTGTGGTTCGTATATGCAGGCTTATGATGTAAACGTGGTGCTACCAGTGCGGAGTGAGTGGAAAACAGCATGAATGAAGACATGACTTTTACAGAGCGGGAACGAGCTGAACCGAGGCGAAATTCTCTGAGGACTGAAGACGACGAGGACAAGCAGGCGAAAAAGTTCGCGCAGAAAATGGTCAATTGCCTGTCAAGTGAAGCTAATGACATGATGGTAAGCTCATTTCATAGCAATCAAGGCCATCGTGAACTTGCATTTGACCACCGTCCATTATGACACGGTTGAGCGTTATGGTATAAACAGAGTGGAATTTATCATCGGGCGTCCACTAACATTGTTAACAATAGTAATCATTCAGGTGTCTATACACGCTTATAATTCTTTAGAAAATGAGTGGAGGTAGTAGATTAATAAAGAGTACACAATTTATTTTTTATTGCTCTAATATGTTTAAGGTGCTTTCAGAAACATATATTTTGAATGGTTATAATTAACCTGTTTATTTATACGTAATTAATATTTAAGCTGCAAAAAAATCTATATTGAATGCGTAATTTTTTTCATGCCGCAGATGTTCAAAATTATCATTGTTGTGGTTAGTACTAGTCTGCTGATACCGGCGAGCTCGATTCATAAACTTCAAGTGAACGATTCATATGGTGCTGTGCCGCATTGGTGCTTAATTGTAGTTTTTAGATCTTTCAGTGTCATCAATTTTTTGGAGTAAAAAAGGTATTCCAGCCCGAAAAGGTCTATTGACGCCAGTTTGGGGGAACGGCAATTCCTTTATTAAATCCATCTCTTTAAAATATTATAATTAATATATGCTTCTACGTTACGATTAGGTGTGCAAGTGCTCCGTCCTATTAGGCATAAAATATGCTATCCTATACGGTTGCTAAAACAGATTTGTGCAGTTAATTAAAATAATCAACAGCAGTCACTGTACTGACAAAAAATAATTCAACCAGATCTTTACTTGAAATGTCTTGCTCCGCTATGCTAAATACACTATGGAATTTTTTTGGTGTCATGTATATTTGGAGTTGTCAGTAAGTGTAATTAGTCGATAAATTGTGCCATTTAATTTGAATATAAGTTTATGGCTCCGTTTCCGAAAACCATGCACCTTGTTCGCTTTTTTCGAAATACCACTCACAGGATTGTTTTCTTCCATTCAGATCATCTTTATTGATATCATGTACTGTTGCTGACATGTAACTTTTCCATTTACAACGTCCTAAAATGTTTGCTTCATTTTCTGAACCAACCTCACAACTTAACCAAGTTATTTTATAAGTTATAAGCTAGAGATTTAAAGATAACCATCTTTAAATCTCTAGCATACTTTTTAGTTAGCAAAACTCGTTGATGTTCCCGGTCTACGGGAACGTTGTCTATGAACATCTTATCTTTTACCTGGTTAGTTGTGAGTCACGTAGGTGTCAGGTAGGTGTTTTAAACCTCTTGTGATGTGATCTTTGTGCTTCTGTTACATTTTCATATTTCCAAGTATTTCAAAATGAAAGTTATTTTTGTTAAGAAGTTTATTTTAGTCCTTTCACTATTTCTAGTTAATTCAGTCAGACAGTTATGACCTGTTAAACAGTATACACATTTTTTAAGGCACCCTGTATAAAAAACGTGTTTCCCTTAATTAACAAAGGAAAGTATTGCACACGTTGTATGGCGACTGGCTTCATGCCAAAAGCATAACATGTAAAAATCAGCAATTTAAACTTTGCAGAACTGAATTGAAAGGTTGTTTGTCAAACGATTTTGTCTCACGATATGCGCATAGTTTATCGTCTTTAATAAACTTATTAAAAACCCGAATATCAGTATTGCTCTGATATAGGGGCGGCCATATGGTCGGGAGCAACTAAAAACGACGTTAGCAAAAAGAGCTACAGCTAACAAACTTCGCATATTATTATTATTATTTATAAGGTGGGTTTCCTTAGCTTTCTTCATGGCAGTTTTTTTTGCTTCACCCAGTTTTTGGCCACTTCTTCACATGCATCTGGCTTTATATCTGAAATGGTTGCCGAGATGTCTTTTTTTTTTAAATTTTTGCTCACAGTCCGTAAATGGTCGTAGCATACCTCGCTTTCTTGCGCTATAACTATCATAAAGAGAAGACGACCGGAGTTATGTCACATAATCAGAGGGGCCATTTAAGGTCACTGTGCCTGGAGACTTGCTGCTTATCAGATGGTTTTTTAATAACGGAATTATGTTACTAATTACATGTAGAGGTAGACCATCCCGCTGTGTTGTAAATCTGTCATAATAATTTAAGGTTTGACAATGTCTGAAGTTATCTCCGGTAATGAAAAAAATTTACAATTTCGCCAAAATAAAAAAATCTATAATGCTTGGAGCTTATATGCTGCATTAGTACTTTTTTAGATGTAAGCCTTTTCCATGGATAGCCCTGGGATCTTCAGTCTACGACAATCGACGGATGGCGGATAAATTTCACTTAGGTATCAGTGCCATCATTTCAGAGGTAGACCCAGATATACGCGAAAAAGTGGCCGAATGAAGCGAAAAACTGTATCAGAAAAGCCAAAAGAATCCACTTTACTTATGTTGTATTTGAATAAAGCCTTGAATGCTAAAAGTTTATAATCAAGAAACTGTGTGTAATTTATGTAAATATATTCAGCTGTCTTTTATTGGCGCCACTTTGCGAGTTGCCGTTCGTCAATTACCGTTTGGATGTACTATACGCGTAAGTATATCAGAGTTCCGGAGTAATTTGGAGGTTATCGGTATACATGTATGTAACCTCTGCTCAGCAAAGGAGAATATCTAAGTTCTGAGCAGTCATAGCGTAAGACCTGAGATGACCCCCTGAGAAAGACTGAAGAGACATTCAGCTCGTTTAACTGATTTTAAATGCCGTCATCTTTTTAAAAACAATGCATTACTTCAATTTATCGAATGTGCGGGACAAGTCGAAGTATACAATGTGCGGGAAAATGTATAATCGTTTTGGGGGTCTAATTGTGATTTACCTCTAGGATTTGTGCCAAGCTAAAGTTAACACCGTCGGGAGGCAAAGCCTCAGATTAGGCACACCTAGCTATTTCTCTTTCAAGAAAAATGGGAGGTTTTTTTTTGATGAGACATGAGACGAAGAAGCTTTCGGTGATCTTGTTAATGCATATGGGATCTCCTAGGATAACTAGTACGCTAGATGCAGGTTTGTGTACGAATTATTACTCAAACGCATATTTATTTTATTCGAAAAAATTCTAAAAACGAGGTCGTGCCATCAGAATAAGCAACAAAATTACGGCCAAAGGTTGGTAACTCAAAAGCCCAAAAACTTACGTGAAATAGATTTGGAACGTTTCGCCATTTTAACGAGCCCATGCTGTTAATAACACGCGGATATGTAGTTGAAACCATGTTAATGGCATATTATCTTGAATTTTCAGGCATCAGCTGCTATTGCCGACCAAGCGTGTCTCCAGAGTGAAGTCTCCGTGTCAAACTTAGCTAAAGTCGAATGGGATCGGGTGGAAACAGAATTCTCAGAGGAGACACAAAAATTTTCCACTCGGAGCCTTCACAGAGCACAGACTCTGTTCTCTGTACACCCATCATCACCAGTTCTCAGCAAGCCTGCCGTAAGAAATACATTGAATTGAAAACCGCGAACATGATGTGTTAAAATATTAGTATAGTATTGCTAGGACTATAGCTTCTGTTTGCATGTTTACAAGGATCAGGAGCTTTGTTTCTGAAATATATTAGAGTCATCATTTCTGGTTGACAGCGGCCTCTTTGTGAATGCTCAATATTGTGAAGCGTGTGTCACCGTTCAGGTACATTCCTTTGGGGATAGAGGAATCCAAGCAGTACATTTCAACTTTATACAATATAGAAAAACAATTATTAAATTAAGCGAATACATTAAAGCAGAGGAATAGTTTAGTCCTTAACTTTATTGCTTCATGTGTGGTTTTAGGTCAGTTCCTGTAACCTCGGCAGCACAGTGTTATTATGTATTGATAGACTTCTTCATGTGTTCGACGGCGGCCAGCATACCGTCGCCGTTGAGCTGGATTCAATGGCAGAGCAAATGGCCGTGCTAGACCATCAACCGCGGATGACTGTTCTCGCTAAAAGCAATGGGGAAATCGAATTCATGGACATGTCGGGAACCAGTCTCTTTAACCATCAGCTTACACAAGTGGAAGATGATACATCCGAACAAAGTAATAATACGGAAAAGATATTTCTGTTTTTGGAGGCCACACCCAACGCATTGTGCCTTCTTACAAAGGGGCTGAAACTATTTGTGTTAAGAAAAAAGGGCGATACCCTAAAGGAGAACAGTCATTACACTGAAAGCTCACATCCGAATGTTGAAAGTGACAGCCACGAAGACATTGGACGTATTGAAAATGAAGATCTAGCAGTGGGTATCGACCAAGACAGTCATATGGATGATGCTTCTGATACCGAAAAGAAACTAGTAGGGTCAAATACTCTACAAGATCTGCTCGAAATATCATCCTTTGATCTAGCTGCATCTGCAAGCATCCAAGAAGTATCTGCTCTGGCCATGGTTGAAGATTTGTTAATCTTCTCCAGTGGTGCGGATGGTGCCTTATATCGAATGGATGTTTCGGATGGATCGTTGCTGACGCTCTCAACTGCATTTCCAGGAGGACGCATATCAAAGATTTTAGCTACCGGAGATAAGCGCTATCTTGTGATCCTATCAGGGAACGGCTTGGTCGCAATAATGTGCTTGCGAACATTCCTTTTGGTCGATTTTTTCATGAACTACAACTTCGGCGACATCGCGTTGTCGCAAATGTCCGAAGATGGGGGGCAGGTTTTAAAAGTACAGTTAGTAGGATATCATCAAATGGACAGGAGAATCGCCGTTTACAGTCTGCCAAAAATTTCCGAAGAGTACAGTGTAGAGATGAGTGGTCACGTGACCCTGGTCAAGCCATGCTCACCAAGCGAGGAACTGATTATCGTTCAGATTAATGACGAGCTAAGCACGATTACAGTGAAATCAATTAATGAAAGTTTGCCTCAAACGAAACTTGAAGTTCTTTTGCTTAAGAAAAAATACGAAGAGGCAGAACAGCTTGCTAAACTCTTTCAACTATCTGTTCAGGACGTGTATCTGGAAGAGTTCTATAGCCTTCTCGACATATTGGGGCGACACGATCAAGATCAGGACCAAGATAAAAATGAGGTCGCATTTGCACGATTGCTGGAATTATACCACAAACTTGGATCGCCGATGGAGGTGTACGGAGGGGTAATTCGCTCGCTACCGGCCAGTTTGGAGCATGCGTTGAAAATTTTGGAATTACTTGCGTCGGACCTACAGCAAAGTCATAACGGAAATGGAAGCAGTAATGAGCTGGCCGACGTTGTCCTTTCACAGTATAAACTTACCACGTTTAAGCTGGTTGAGACTGAACATCACTTCGAGTTGTGGAACAATTTTCTGAAAACACCGACGCTTAGTCTCGTAGTCGAAAGTCTCAACCATAACCAGAATGCGAGAGCGCTTACCATATGGTGTCGGCACCGTGATATGATTTGTGGGAGTTCTGATCTAAAGGCTATACGCGACTTCCTCAATTCGATTCCGCCTGTCATTGATGAGATGAAGAAATGGCTTATTGAGGGACGCCTGTTTGCCTATATAGTTAGTGACTTTCCGGAAGCTATAAATGATCTTATTGCAAAGGTGGTAGAAGCAGCGAGCATTGCTGAAATTCGCAACCCGATTTCGTGGCCAATGTCTTCTCTGGATTTGTTAAACGCTGTTCAGACAGAATTTGACTGCATATTAAATCCGAAAGCGGACCAAATGGTCTCGTTACCCGCCGTCGTTAACGCAATGCAAATGTTTCAAGGTTTAAAGGTTAAGGACTCTCCGGTACATAAAATGGCAGCGCTTCGAAAAGATATTTTGTTTCTGATGGAGCTACGCCAGAAATACAATGTGCATCTTTTCCTTGGTGAGTTATCTGCGATGCCTGAAAAGGACTTGATGTTCTACGTGATGAACCACCTCAGTACGGAAGTGGAGATTCACAACTTCATTCACTGCACACTAAAAGACGCTTGTCTCAAGAAAGGCTTTGATCTAAACGACATGCTGCTTGAATATATCGCGCATTTAAGAACGCATGCCGAGGCTTCGGGTAACGTCGACTGGGAGCTAAAGGCGTGTCGGGTCTTTAAGCTTCTTGCTATTCCAGAATTCATGTCAAAAGCCGCCCTAACGATAGTCGAGGCTGCTATTGTTCCGTGGAAACAGTGTGTCCATGAAGTGTACGACATTGCCGTCGGCATGGATTTTTTGCATAAAGAAAAACTTGAAAGGCTGAAGAGAGACATTCCATTAAAGCTTCTCCTCCGAAAGCATATGGTACCGCCAATAGATTTGGATGAAGAAGATGTAGTCACACTTCTAATTAATGCCGGTGAACCTTTAAAAGAATTGCTCAACGTTTCGCAAGAAGTGGGCTGGTCGAGAAGCAAAATTCTTGTTGAGTTCTTATTGAAGTGCTGTGAGAATGAAGATGCCGATGAGGTAGAACGGTTCTTAAAGGACTACCAAAAGGAACTGGCTGAAAGGATGGTCTGGGCCAGGCTACAGTGCATTATCGATATAACAAATTCCTGTACCAAACAGTCAGCTCTTTTGCGTTACGCACTCAATTGTTGTAGCACTGCGTCGTCCGATCAAGTTGGCCAAGTGGATTCGATGTCGCAGATCCTAAGTGAACTACAGGGTCAGACTGCTGATGAGATCTTCTGTGAGCTATATCTTTACAGCCAAGAACGCTGCTGTCGAGTAGAAGATCTCCTGTACGACCTTCTGGTCGAAGCGGTTGGCAATGCCGATGCAAAACTTCCGCTAATTGCTGCCTGTTTCCTGCAACAGGATGTCAATGAACGTGTGTGCCTTCTCGCCGTGCAGTATTTATTGTCCAACTATTCCGTAACGAAAGTCAGTAATATTTTAGAGCGAATGATGGCCAAATGCAACATCGAAGATGCTGGCTATAGCTTATATCTACTGTGGACATCATGCCTTGCGCACTTCAACCTGAAAACCAGTAACGACCCGTTTGTCTGCTGGAAATTCTCGGCAGATATTAGTGCTCAGCACTTATCGATGCCGCCGGCCGTTATCGCCAATGTGGACAAACTTGTCAATGGTATTTTCGACGAGAGCACTCGAGAAATGACTTTGGATGGTTGGCTAGACAGAGTTCTCATGGCTACGCGCCAGTGTTGCGAAGAATTACAACGCGTCTCAGCCGTTCATCTTGCCTACGAGCTGGTGACGTGCGTTCGGCATACACTAGAATTCTACGATATTAAAGAGCCAATCTCACTTGCGAAACTCGCTACTGACAATGCAAAGAGTTTGATCCGTGAGCATATTTCATCGAAGTACTGTGACCTTTTCTTCACTGCACACGTTCTAGCAGAGCTGGGGTCCGACCTTCGCGTTCAATACTTCCAGTCGATGCTGGCGCACTCACTGTCCAACACAGCGATGGTTATCAAACTGGCTTCTGTTGGACTTCTAGTGAGTGATATGCTTCACTTGGCGGGCAAGAGTCATCTAACCGGAACACTAAAAGCTAGCGAATGGTGTCTAAGGCTAGCAGATTATCGTGTGGACGTAAAAAAAATTGTAAAGGAAGGCTTTAACCAGCGGAATGCTGATGACGTAGCGGAGAAGCTCACCCAAAGCACAAACGTCAACATTGACCTTGTGAAGCAGTTTGCGCAGGACTTCTCGTTGGGCTCATTGAGCGTGCATGCCTCGAGACTATTCCAACATTTGCTAACGTCGGCAGTTGAAGAAGTACACCAAGGAAATGCGCAGGTCGTGTATCTTGAGCTCCTCCCAAAAGCCGACAATCTCTTAGGTCTTCTCAGCCGTGAAGAAGCTCTAACAAGTTTGCTTGGAGTACTACCCCAAATTGATGACTATTGCTATGAAGTGCTACAATACGTCTACGAAAAACTTGAATCGCTGGGACGTGATCAGCGCAAAGAGCTTCATCTGTTGCTTTTCCTAAAAGGCTATCATCGAAAAAGTAAGATTTCAACGAAGGAATCTCTCCAGTGGACTATGCTGCACCCCGAGTACTGCGTCCTTCCTGATATGGCGACGCGCAGAATACCGTTGCGCATCACTATGGAAAAGCCTGAGGTAGTGTTGACCGCAGAGCTAAACGCGGCCAACATTGACGACTGGGTTTCGGTGTGCCATTTAATTAGTGGTCTTAACCCTGATGATATGCGCGTTTTAGCGCTGACAAACTCCGTTAAGCAGTACAAACAAAGGGCTAGCACATTTAGCTGCGACGAAAAACTCGTGGAGTTCTTTATGAAGCTAGTTGACGACATGACCGACGAAAAGAAGGCACTCAGCAGTGCCCTCCACATGTTTAATGATCTGCCCAAGGGAAAAACAAAGGTTCAAATAGCGCAAGAGCTCTGGAGGTATGCAAATGAATGTACGCCATCGATGGGCAAGATCGCACAAACATTCTATTCACAGTATCGAGCACTGGGCTGCGAAATTGTACTGCGCGAAAACAGCTTTGAGGAAAATGGTCTATTAAAGCGTTGTACCGACCCTAATGACTTAGTGGCTACAATCCTTCGTAGCAAGCTGAACTCGAACCTAACACTTGATGTTGCCCGAATCCTGCCTATCATTGAGCATACAGCGGCACTCGCAAACGTCAATACGAAAGATTTCCTAGTGCACTTTGTGAGTAAATGGCTGAATGATAATCAAACAAATGAAAATCATTCAGATGTGACTGCAACATTCAACTTCAACCAGATCGTTAACGGAGCCGGCAATTCTTTCCAGAATAACGTGTTAAACATTGACGACGTAGTTCGCGTTGTACGGCTTCTCGTAGCACTTCCCGACGACACGGCAGTGCAGTTAGTCAACCACATTCTTGCCCTGCAAAATGCTACTCACACGCTGGCAAGCGAACAACAGCTACGTACCAATCTCGCCATATTGTGCGCTTTCGACAAGGAAATGGCGTCATCGCTCCTGGGCATCTCGGCGAAGGCTATTGTTCAACAGTGCAATCAGCTTATGTACACCGGCCGTGTTCAAAGGCATGGGGTGGCATTAAATTGGTTTTTAACATCTGAAGAGCTGGTGCGTCAGGTTGTCGACCAGCTTGTGCAGCGGAATCAACGTGATTCACTCGTTTTAGCTTTCCGCATATTTAAAGATTTTGGTATCTGCGATGAGCAAACATTGGCCACCCTGGTTGATGGTGTAACGAGTCGGCCCGACATCCTCGAAGAGGCTGTTCTATTTCTACAGCGATTCCGTGCGGTATTTGGGCAGCCAGACTTTGTGCAGTGCTGGACTCGAATAGCGGTTGTACATTATACACCTACAAGATCTAGTTAAAATATATGACATTGCACATTCATGTGCCAGCAGCATAATTGCAATTGGAAATCAAGCGCAGGGCAGTATTAGGGCCTATGTCTGAATATCGTGTTCCATTACTAACTGATTAGGATGGTAAGCTACTTAACGTTTTACTTGCTATGTAAAGGTGTAACTGGAGCCCAGCGATTTGTAAATGTCTGCCATTGTGTGAGCAATTGAGATTAAGCCATGCAACGCATGAGCCGTTTTTGTTGTTAATTTATCGGAAACCATATTTTGGTTCAATGAGCTATATAGATACTAAGAGAAGGAAGGCGGAAAAGCATCGTACTGTCGGACATTATTGGTTTCTATTTTACTTGCACCACTAATTGTCTTTCTAGTACCATTAAACGCTAATATGCATATAATGATAAGTTCATTATACAAACGTCACTAGACAAAGACATAAAAAAAAATGACACAAATAAATTCGAGACTAGGATCAAGAGAAAGAGGAGGGCGCGAAGCTACAACATCTGCCATGCGCGGCACTTTTATAGACTTCCCACATTACATGAACAACAAAATGCAATTTAATTATAATCGAATCCAGTTTGCTATCTGCTTTGGTCCAAGATTCCGGATTATTACCGCAACGTTTAACGTTTCACAAATGCTTAGTGTGAATTGCATGTATATTATGTCTATCTTAACAAAGGTAATCTATTCGAATGAAGGAAAGATTGCATCTTATGAACCACCTGTGTAATCAAAGCATCATTACAAAGCGGATCTATTAGAACTTACGGTGACGTTTATGAAGGATCTCCAAGTTGTAGTGTCAACCTATAGTTTCATTTGTCCCTATTTAAGCTCTAGCTAAGCATGCACTACCAGAAAATAATTAAGATGAAACAACAAATGAATATTATTTTTATTTTGTATTTGCAGAAGTTGCCTTTTCGCTTTTTATGCGCTTGTATTGAGAGACATTGGGTCCAGTGGAGAAATAAATCTATGTACATATTTTGACTGCATATTTGGTGTTTTTCATAAAGTTACCTTGTTAGGCTATGAATTTTCAGAATCGTGTACCCACTCATTAAGACTTGTAACCGTAGCCGAGGCTGCTTTTAGTGTCTCATCCTACACCTAAACCGGCAATAAGATGTTTGTTATTATTAGACGTTAGTTCTTTTTGCCTAGGCACACTAAGTAGCCTTATACCTCGGTGAAATTAATTAGACGATTTTAGACGTGCTGAAACAAACTGGACGTACGTTACCATTAAATTTGATTCTTGTTTTCGACCAAAGTCGCTTGTGTAATTGGTTTCCTACATTCATTTTTCTTAACCATACAAAATCCTACAAACGAACTTCCTACTTACTACACCTTATTCCAATCTCCTTCTTCGTGCCCTATGATTGTACTTACTCTAAGTCGTACAACCAAGAACAAAGAACACACGAAAGAGTTTTGTTAACTTTATTTCCACTTATTTTCGATATACAATAAAACCTTATTACTGTCATTCAGTCTCCTAAAGTCGTTTTTACCATCCATCGTTGTTCGTAAGCCTATCTATAATAGTCTGTAATTATATCAGCAGACTTTTGACTACAATACCAGGCGACACAAACGGCGGTTGTTGGGATGCTGAATCCCGAACACAAATTTTCTGTTGGCGCATATGCCTATAGTAGCCAATAGTTCATTGGTGTTATTTTGTACCCTCCCTTTCTCAGCTTCTCTTTATATATTGCCTGTCAATGCTAATAGATACAATATTTGTTTGTCACATACTGCTATCATTTATCACTGCCAGTGTCTTCGCTATTTTCTCCGTGTGTGTTCATTCATCGGTGATTTTCTAATATCGGCTATATCGCTTTTGTATTTACAACTTACAATCGAAAACGACGCAACAAACGGAAGCTCGAAGTCGTGTTTTTTGCCCGGATTGTGCCACTGCATAACATACAAAGTTTCTCTGCCACATATCTATATATATATATATATATATTTTGCTATATTATTATATATCATATATACACAACAACGGTGCGCTCACCGTATCGGCCAATCGTGTGTCACCCCCCTAGGAAACCCTCTGAACAAGAACCCAATATGCAGATCGTACGCTACACATACACTAAGAGTGGCAACGTCGTCAGTCTAGGAATGTTGCTTTGATGTCTAAATACATATAATACTCTTATTTATTATAATTACTATCATTACTAGACCAATATTCGTCCAATACATGTTGCCATCACATATCGCAGGAAGACATGCATGCCAACACAACAGTAGCGGTAGAATCTCGGCGTATTCGGTAGCAGATATTGGCAATAATCAGTATTTTACCGAAAAATCCTCTGAGCGGACAGTTTTCTCCTTTGACATGAATTATTTCTTCATCGTTATAGCAAGTTGCTCTAATCAACACTCCGCATATATATACTATCCATCCTAAACCCCAAGGCCATAAAGAACAAATACTCGTTTTTCGACAATATGCACAAACACCCATTCAGACACTTAGTATATTTAGTCGCCTTCAAGAAAACCAATGACTCGACGAGACGATATGAACCAATGAAAAAATACCATCAAATCCCTCACTCAGCCTCTGTGTGTATTTTAACCGTGAACGTCCAACAATCAGCCTTTTCTCTTTTCATTTAACTCGTTTAAGGGTAGTGGGATATAGCACAACTGATTTTTCGTGACCATAAAGCGACCTCATCGTGATCTGTTTTGCGTTACAGGCTTCTGACAAGATCCTTCTTTGCGGGCATCGGCACAGTTTAGATATAATATCATCGATGACAGGTTATGTATGTGTAACAGCATCGTTGAATTGGCAGCATCAAAACATAAGCCATGCAACGTGTCAGCTGTTTGCGATGCAGCGACAGGTGGCCTACAATCATCACAGGTAAGCAAATCCAATCAAATGCGTCTTATCCCTTATATTTCGCAGGGATTGACAAGAAAGTGGTAGAGAAATGTACACCGAGTACGTTCAATTGCGGGACTCATTTGTGACTCTTGCGGCGGTCTGATCATGACAGAACTGAAGATCGTAGCTGAGATATTAATCAGGCAAGGGAAAAACAAAAGCACAAAAAATCGTGTTCGAGTTAGTTTAATTATCTAGATGGCTACACTTAAGAATATTCTTGTTCGCAATTACATTAATCGCACTGGAACTAATCCTAATAATTCCTAAAAACTCTTCACGCTATATATCTCGTTTGCTTTTATGTAAATTTATATAACATGATCGAGGGTTTTTACGAATCCTTTCAGGTAATGATTTCCTAAGTCAGAAAGAGACCTTTCGCCATCATAAACAGTGAAATAAGGTTGACTCTTAGGATCCGTACATCTTAGTTAGCTTAATTTACAACTGGTGTTTTATTGAGCCTAAGCATGAAACATTTTGATTAAAGGCAGACGTTACTTACAAGTCAGATTAATATCAAGCTTATTGAACTGTGAAGACCTGAGCAGCTCTTGCAGGAAGACGACCAAGTATCTGAAAGTATCTCTATGTACTTTTGGCAGTTCTCGCAATACCGCCTTCGCTTGCGTATACGTCGAAGCACTATCCAAACACTTTTTGAAAAAGCAAAACGGTATTACCGGCTCTCGTAATGAATTCAAAAATAGTAGCAGACATTCAGCCACTGAGAATACACTCGCTGAAAGAACACACCAAAAATCATAATGAGTACGATGTCCCTCATAATTATGACTAGCGAGCAAAGGCTGTCTAAAGTATTACTGTCACTGGACTGCTGGATCTTATGTAACATAGTCGCCTATGTGAATTTAAAATAGATAGGTTTTCGGGAAACTAAAAAATTTTTACAACTTTGGAACAAGCATTTAGAGCGAAAAGTTATTTACCGTGTGCGACCCTCACTTATAGTTCACTCACGCTCCCTTTTATTTTGATCGTATATTTCTTACCTTCAAAGTTTCCATCGGGCATTTTATTATCCAGAGCTTCACGAACGCTCTGAATATCCGTTGAACTACCACACTTTACGAAGAGGCCCTCTACTTCGAGTCCTTTCCGGTTCAAACCGTCAATAAGAACCCACAGTTCTGTTGGTATTTCAAATGGAATACCGAGCTCTGCATTTCTTTCAGGATCTTTTTCCTAAAATTCAAACGAAAGCCAACGCATTTTACAAAAGTATTTGATTTTAGGTGCGCAAACGACGCCAATTTTAGCACTTGCTAGACTCACCTCAAATAATTATCTTAATTTCCTGAGGATGAGTATCACCACCGATAATAGACAAAAAAATTTTACTTTTGACACCTTATGATATTGGTCAGGCGGCCACGTTGCCGTTGCGCCATCGCCGAGAACATTTCAATCGCTCCGATCAAAATACAATCATATTAGTATACTTAGTATTATAACAACATTAGTAGTTCAGTTAACCCGTCCATTGAAAAAATAGTGTCGAATAGCGGTAAGTAATTTTCCAAAGGTACACTGGATGGGGACTGATAGAGGATTAAAAACATGCTATACGGGTATTCTCTTTAAATTCAGCTGTTACTTACCAGTGCAAAAAGCGCCTCTTTTGCCATTAGCCCAATTGGCGTCGTATGCCGAACCAGAGCCTCGAGAGAACACCCAAAACAAGAATGGCGATAGTCGATATCAACAGATATGAAGATATCCTTTCCTTCCTGAAGATGCAACACAAGGACGTCGCTTGTCCGTTCAATGCCGCTGTTTAGAGCTGCCGCGCACGTCGTATCCACCAAGACCTCTAAGGTGATATCGCACTGTTGCGCCCAGTGGAATCAATATCAACAGAAACCAGGGAAAATGAACATCATACCCAGATTGAAGTTTAATATATGGAAAAATGCGATATTCGGCCAACCGTAATAGCAAGTTCGGTTAATGCAGTAAATGGAAAAATCCAGCTGTAACCAATGCTTTGCCATAAATAAATGGTAGTGAGAGAATGTGCCACGAAAAAGCGGTAAAGAAATAACGACCTACCGATTCCCCCTTTTTGAGTGTTCCGTTATACGGGTCGGCTTTAAGCCAAGGCCGACAATACCGTTTGCTCTTTGGTTGTTCTTTGAAAAGGAATTTCACGATAACAGGACCGGTATTTGTAACCTTGAAGGATCTTGACACTCGTTCGTAAAAGTGTACGTCACTGAAATGAAGATAGTGCTGATCCACAGCGACCTGAGGGAGAAAGTCGTTTTCTTCTTTATCCAGTTGTTTCATTACTTCCTGGTAAACTTCCTTACGGTTAGCCGCATCCACCACGCGAATGCCTATAATTTCAGAAGCCAAAAACAGATGACGTAGACATTAGTCATAAATGCAGGCTGATTGTATCACCTTCTAACTTTTAATACTGCGAATTTGTTACCTATTCACGAAACCAGAAAAACAAATAATTGTTTTGTCTAGTTCAAAAATAGAAACAAAATATTACATGTATGTAGATTTATATTATTAGTTAGTGATATGCTTCAAAGATACAAAATTTCTGTCTGGCACAATTACGTTTACAACGTTTACTACCTGAGCTAAAAAGCGCTGAAACGGGTTTGTGATCTGAGATCGTGTATTCATCGTGACTACGGTACGTGAGCAGCTGGATGGCCGACCCACGCCAGAGGATGCGATCGCAATAGGCAGGCACTCGTGCCTTTTCACTTGTATCCCAACGACTGGTACCCACGTCATATTTATATGTGGGCCTGAAATTTAACGCTCCTTCTTCGAAGCCAACGAAGATAAACCCTTTGTGTTGCTGATCCCGTAACTGATCACGTTCCCACAGAGGCGCAAAGTTACCCGATGCACACACCAACTCAACCATTTCGCGATTTGTGTCCTGCAGACGATAGTTCATATCGCCGATCCAGTAGATGTGGCTGCAGATCATATAACAGAACGCGTGGTATATGACATCAAATGCTGATGTTTAGCCTTGTTGCATCACAAGATACATCCAATACAGTCACTCTAATGAGAATGGAACTGTGACAGTATTATTAAATGCGTGTGAATATCTCGGTAACGCTAGCGGCTCCGAAGCTGCTCGGTGGGCAGAGGAGCTTTCCATTGTCAAGCAGTAGAAATTATGCTAAGTTGCATTTCTAAGAACCGGACTAAGAAGCAATGAGGATGGTCTGGCGAACACGAGAATAGTAAAGACATTATAAAAAAAACATGTACTCACTCATGTTCACGAATCGTTCGGTTAGGACGAAGACTGTTGAACATTATTTTGTTCCGGATATCATTAAAGTCTTGGTTTCTCCGGTCTCGTTCTTCTGCATGTGCAGCGAGGTGACAATTGACGAAGCAGACAGAAGTCGAATGAAGGTCCATGCGAATCGCGACTCCACCTTTGTTACCCATCATACCGAGGACACCGGTACCTACATACGATGAATCCACGTTTGTCACATACTCTAAATGCTTCTCGTCGACAAACACCGAAAGCATCATTCCTATGAAAACATAAAAGCGGAAGCCAACGTAACATTTATGAACGAATGAAGTTTCAGACAGGCAAACCGAGTTCCGAAGTTGTTGCCTTCGCAAGTGTTATAAACAACTTGTAAATTTAGTGCATGAACCAGGAGAGTTCTTCCACGATTTCAACAAACCTACCAACTAACCGAACCGTCTTCACTTCTCGATAGTTGCCCCGTGGATGTAGTCCTGCCTTGACTGCATTAAGCCACTCTTTTTCCCGGGGAGAGTCTGCAAAAACAAATGCTTCCTTTGACAGGTCGACTTCCTGAAAACCGATTGCGTATACGTCTGGGGGCTCCATCGGAGACGAACTCGACAACCATCCTGCAATAGCGAAGAACCTTTACCTTAGAATGGGTCATTTACATAAGCGCCGTTGCAGATGTATCTACTTTAATGACAGGACATTGGCTCAAAATAAGCTTTATAAAGTAATATAGTTATTCCGAATCAGATTTGATTAGTATTCTACCGACTACTTTTTTTTCTTTCTCTATTCGGAAGTACTACAAACATTCAATGAAAGGTTCAAATGCTTCCGCTGACCTTAACATCTATGGTGACTCTTCGTTTTTAAGATGCAGACGGGCATTAAGGAAACGAAAGAATCATTTACGGCAAAGGAAAATTTTATAAAAAAGATTGTATCTTCTACTAAGCAGTTTAGCTCGCTATTTCAGCAATAAGAATTGTATCATTCTAGATCAGATGCGTATTGGGCCGGTTGTAACTAAAATCAATAAGTTTTTTAAGTTTCACGTCCAGTACAGCCGTTAAGACTGGCTATAGATGCATTTTAGCTTTTCACAGCACGAAGCAAACCGTTTTTCATTGAACTTGAATCATTCCACTAAGTGTCCTTAAAATAAGTAAACAAATAAGTTTCCTACTGCGCTTACTGCTGTGTACTCTACCTGATAGCGACTCCGGTCCAGGGGATTGGCCGTTCACATTCCAGGTCGCAGAAAATATACGGAGCTGGTTGAGTACTGTGAACTCTTCCTCGCGTTCCTGCATAAGATTTTTTACCATACATTCTCGAGAAGCCATACGCTGGCCTTCTTCAATCACCGAATCATCGTCAGGATCATCAGGATTTGTGGCAAGAAAGAATCTTCAATAGACCAAAAAGTCAAAGAAATATCGAGCAATGCTTTTCTTTCCTTTTTTTTCCCATTCTTCATTTATTTTTTTGTTCATATTTTCTAATCAGGCAGCACAAAACATATTGGAAAGCACTATTTAAATGAAAACTACAAGGCTTACATAATGAACGTGTTATACCTCCGGACATTCGCAATAAGTGTACCGGAAAACCTTTGCTTTCTACTGTTTGTAAATAGTGAATATTACTAATTAAATACACAACCAATTCATACTCACTTGCTACTATTTTTGTAAACCTCAACCCAATGGTAGTCGCTAGAAGGGAACGTCCGATAACTTGCATTCTCGACAGCTTTGCTTACCATCCGTACAAACTGCGAGGCAATATCGCTATAATCAACTTCAAAGATGAGGCGCTTTTTCTTATATGTTATCGTGGCAGTAATAGTTCTCCCGGTAGGGCCCGAACCGATGATTGGCTCTGTGATTAGTCGATTATACATTGCTCTCATTAAAAAAAATTTACCTCGGAGTAGACAATGGCTGTTCATTTATTACTTCCAACGTAATTGGTTCACGGTACAGCTCATTTTTTATCATTCATACATTTTTATCATTAACTCTAAGAGAATGTTACTGAATTCCGTGAGTCATCGGTTGGTATCGACAAAAAAGTATACAACAGCCAACGTTATCACGTTTACCGCTCGATAACATTAAGTGAAAAATAGTTTACTCAAACGAGCCTTAGTTTAGTCAATGCAAGGTAACGAGTCTATAGGAAACCTGCTGGGAAGCGACAAAAACGATGATAGCCACTATCCACTAACTACATCATTTAAAGAGCCAAATGAGCTATGGACGGACATCTATTTTACAATGTACTACTAATACTAACCAACATCGAATTTGAAGTCTGAGTTGATTGGCATTCGTGAGTCGGACGATAGCACGGCCGCTGCTGGGTTAATTTGTGTATTTGAACCACAACTACTGGCCACAATGGCTGGGGAGGTGACTTGCTGGATAACATACGAAAGCACATGGTTTAGATGGACATGAATAATGAATGAAAAGCAAGACTCAAAAATGGTTTACTATAGCTTAGATACGAAGTTCAAATAGATTTATCTGTTTCATTCCTGCTCAATTAATCTTGTACACAAACTAAAACATTTATTTCCTTTGTACTAACTTACGGGACATTACAACACGTTACGACACTAACAATAAATGGCTGATTCCATAATGATCAATAACTAGATAATAACTTGATCTAAATGCACGGGAAATAGAACACGTACAGGTCCTCCGGCTTCTTCTGTGCAGACAAGAAGGCAGTGTTCCTTAAGATGCTCAACGAGGACGCATACCCGTGGCACGCTCTTACGTCCCCGAGAGAGTGTACAACGGATGCAACCCACCACACGATGGTCTGGAGCTATCAGGCGTCGAAGCGCGTTTCCGTAACGGACGTCCATCTACCATATAAATGATCAAAGAAACACACATTTGTACGTGGTCAAAGCACATGACAGTGGTATGTACGTTATAGTAATATTTTAACGATGATAACAATTCACTTGTAATGATTCGATAACTGATAGTTTACGGGCATCTTGGTGTTCCTATACTATGTGATTATTTATCCACAGCAGAGAGCATTAGCTCTAAGGTGAAAAAGCAGAAGGGTTATCCGAAAATCAAACAAATGACCCGTGCTTCTGGGTTCGCTCGTTCTCGAAAAAACATGCCAGTGGTTCTAGAGAAAAAGCCTAAGCTATGACGTCCAAAAAGCTAGTTCCATCAAAAAAGACAAATACTGCTGAATTAATAGGGGTGATTGTCATATATGTGTATGGGTGAGAAAGCCTTCAGATTATGTGGCAGAATAGAGAAGGGAAAGGTTGACTGATACAGAAAAAAAAGACGTAACGTAATCCTTTGTTAATTAGGAGAAAGCATCGAGCAGGACCTCTACGTGAGTAAGAAAGACTGCTTGCGGCACATGGAAAGGACAGGAGATTCCATTTGAAGCTTCATAGCGAGTTAAATAATTCCACTAGAATTACGTCACATACACAAACATGCCTGATATGAAGAAACTGTGGTTTCAATTTTGCGTAATTTTTGTCTGAATCGACTTACACAAGGCCTTATATAAACAGAGTTAAGCATTTTAATCCGGATCTTTGCTTATGAGTTGCTTCGAAGACTAAACAAGAACAGATATTTCAATGAAATTTTTGCATGTGCTAGAAGTGTCATTTTTGAGGGTCATGTTTATTCAATAAAACTACTATCCACCGGGTCTAAACCACAAAGTGATTTCAAAATATTTTTTCTTTAATCCGCAAATAACTACTTAATAGTGACCGTACGTCAAGTTTTATTGGTAGATGTAAACAGGTTAAGGTGTCCCTCAAATACGCTACACAAAAATATTTGAGCAGAGTTAAATTCTAAGCTGATAGCAGGCCGAATGTCCGGAATATACTAACGTTTAAAATGGTCAAAAATCTCGAAGGTTCTAAGATGTACAAAAGACCTTTAGAAAATTAACCGTCGGAGCCTTCCTGAATGACCCAATTGGTAGTAGGCATCTATCTATATCTAAAATATCCGGATTTATAAAGTATGGCTTTTTGAAAAATTTTGGTACGTTTTCGGGCCCATTAGATTTGAGAATTTTCAGGTTTGCCTTATGAAAGTCTTCGGATTTTTCAAAAGTCGCATGAACACTGGCAATAATGTAGACCGTCACTTTCGAGTAAAACAAGAAGTTTTTAGCCCTTATACAAGTTCGACGCGAGAAAGACGTTGTATAATACCTGACTTTCGCTCGAATTTCGGTTTTGCTATCGAAAGAACTGACTTCCTTGTAGTGCCAAAAATAGCGAATAAGCATATGCCCACGATGATGAACAGCCCTATAAAGTTTCTCCACATTTGAATGTATCTTATATACATGAAGACACCGCGAGCCGGAGGACAACAGACAAACCGCGAGCTCCGGTGCGTTAATTTACATATACAATACGATAATTAAAACAATAAGGCATATCTGTTCTTGTCTATCTTATATCTTGTCTATAGTATTACGAATATATTGGGTAAGCATGCTAGCAAAAATCCATCATAAGTTTGCCAATGCGGCATATACCTGAGATGAGTTAACTTATGCATCTATACTATCTGTAAATACCGCAAATTCCGGGACATTCATTAAAAATTCCAAATTTTTAGATTCGAAAGAACCTACATTCCCACATTAAGCACATACAACTCAGCCATTGATGATCACCAAACAGAGATTCGTTATGAAATATTCTTTTAGACTTACAGAAAATTCGGAACTGTCTAACTCTAGCTCATAAGCTTGAAGAAATTATCGCAAAAAGTCATAATTTTTATTTACTAGAAGTTTTAATTAAATATATCGTAAGAATGATAATTGAGTTTTTCACGTACCTATGATATACTTATGTCGTTCCGTTAAATCCCTTTTTCACATAAGCTATAGACCGAATTATATCGTTATTTGTTATATATTTATTACTGCTTCTTATGTTTGTCCAACAATGGAGCCGATTTTAGATTTCGTTTATTTAGCATTGGCGGATGGCAAACCGAAAAAAAAGGCAAACCAATATAAAGTCAATGGTGCTTGAACCTAACGTCGCTGCTCTACATGTCGTCCCTCAGTGTTGTGCTAGTCATAAGTTTTGTTACTTCGATTTCAAAGAGACTGTCTAAACGCAGAACAGTACATTAAAGATGCTTTAACTTAACCGATGCACCAAAATAACCCACAGGAATCGGCTGGGTAAGCCGACATCTAACTCTCCGTATAAACGTCTATAGCGTAAAACTCGCTGAAGTTTTGTCCAATTAGCCATGAAGCTATAAATTGGATATTTAGACTGAGCTAAATTATTAACTACACAGAACGATAAATCGATGTAAACTGATCTCGCCTTTTGTTTTTGTTATATATATATATATATATATATATATGATTTTTTTGTTAATGACGACTTTTTTTCCCTGTTGCCGCATACTTTCTACTACACCCTAAAGCAATCGGCACTTCTAATAAACAAGCATAATTCCTGTTAAAGACGATTGATATTTTGGAAGAATGACCGCCCACTAACAATGCAGCAATCTAGCAGAGTGTACTTGCGCGAAGTTACACTTTTCAGGTCCTCTTCGCTATTGTGCAGAATTTCCTGTCTATTTATAGAAACAGTCAACAGTTTCCTAGGAAGATCATTTTCAAACCACGTCGAAAGCATCTAGTTACGCCTAATAAGACATAAATACAAATAAACGTCCATAAACACTGAACCACTTCTACGCAAGCTTTTCATTTAGTAATACATGCCAAGCGTTGACAATCGTACAACCGATACTTTAGCCCCAAATTGGCAACTACAGCCCGGGAATTCATTAGTAGCGGCGACCACGTTAGTTGGCAACAGTATGCCGGGCACCTAACTACATGCTGATTGACAGAGGACGTAATTGTTCGTGATCTAACTCAAAGACCTCTTGACCTCAACTACGTATTTTTAGGCTCGATAATACCAATTTAGGAGGCGCCTCATATGGCCTTCCGAAACGTGACGACCAGCAAGTTCCGTCAACTCTAGCAACATGTGAGAAAACGGCACTTAAATTCGCCGCACAGGCTATAACTCTTTGTGCTTTGACATATTCTCATTCCGCACGAACGCTCAGCTGTATATCCGATAATTCGCTATTAAATGTGTAAACGTGAGCGAGCCCCGTCATAAACAGTGAAAGATTTTGAAGTCAATCAGACAAAAATACATAAGCAGGCGTAATGTGCGATGTTCTGTTCGTAGTTTATCTAAAAAAAGCATATTTCTCATGTCTATATATTTATGCGTGGCACATTATTGTAACAGTTTTGCCCTTATCATCTCTATTGGTCTCTATTCCGAGATAGTTTTTTATATTATTTTCAGGAGATTAGTACGTTTAATCGATACTCGATTGAATTCTAAGGAACCGTTAATCCTAATTGACCTCTAATCGTTCGAAAATACATTAGAGCTCTTTGTAAGCTTCAACGACATTAGATTACTTGACAGGCGCAAGTAATTTTAGAAAACAGACTGTCCCGGAAACTATCACTTATAGTCGTCCCAACTTAGCCCACAAGCAGTAAATGCTCAACGTACCAATTCTGTTGCCAGCACCTACTCAAATATTTGCAAAATTCAGCTCTCGAGGAGATGTTTTACAACACAATATAGCTGTCCAAAACTATGTCGAGGAGGGGCATTTGAAAATAATACCATTTTGAAGTTGTCAAATATCTGCAGAAGTGATAGAAAATCCGAGCATAAAATGTGAATGAGAATCGTTGCTCTCTGAATAATATTCTGAGTGATCCAATTTTATAAATATAATTTTTTACCCTCTGGGTTTTATAATAAAAAGATAATAATAGTTCTATATATGATAATAATAGGCTATGGCAAAAATAAACAACCAACGTTGATTGGTTGTTTATTTTTGCCATAGCCACACAAGACGATAATTCCTGATGAGCGTGCAATTACATCCTTTTGTAGCTATTTTTTTTAAACTGAGCCCTAGTAGTCACCAATGAAGGAATCTGACAGCAGCGTATATGAAGGGTTGCGAAATTTCAAAGAATATAGCCATCTAGCTTAACATTAGGACGAGACCAAGGTATTCCCAATGCAGACTCAGCCGAGAGGTAAACCTCGGGGCCAAATAAGCCGGCAAAATCTTGCGTCTCGCAGAAGCCGCTGCTATATAGCCTATAGTTGAACATAGTTTTTTATCCCATACTCCACGTGGGCTTACTAAAACGTTTACCAATATCTGTTTTTTAGATCCATATCTATTTTTGTCACGTCAGAAATACAAAGTGATTCTGTTCCCGTTGAAACTACATAGTAGATGTATTCTATTGCGACGTTTATAGAATGAATATAAGCATTAATTCGTTGTGTAGAAATAAATTATTCTGTAGCATAAAATAACATGTGCTATTTTCACCAATTAATGTATTACTTAGAGAACTATACGAATACACATATGTACCGGATAAACTGAATTAAAAATACATACATTACATTGAAATGTTTTAAAAATATCGTCGAGAAACTCATTCAATTAAAGTAATAATTAAGTAAGATAGACAAGGTTCATTTTTTCAGACAGAAGTCATGCAAGATATGCTTTTATCAACAATAATAATAGATGCATTGTTTTGTAGATATAAATACAATGTTTCAGGTGCGACATGATTTGTTGGTTGGTTACCAAAGTGATCCACAGAAACCGCTTCGTACTCACGATTCGTTCATTATTTTTGAACACTTTTATATTCTGGTATATTATAGTGTTTTGTTCATGTTATCAGATACGGAGCACTGTTAGTACCAACTAAACATATATACGACAACATCTGCTTTATGTTGTTTGTTTAGGCAGTCATCACATATCATCAACAGCTTAGAACTGCAAGACAACGATCGGCTCCTCTAACATTTCAGACTCCTAACACCTCTGACACAGCGCGATCTCACCGATCGCTCGCACAATTACAGTGATGTAAATGCCTTACTCACTTTGGAAGCATGCAAGCCAGCATGAAGTGGACAAGGCTGCCCAGAGGGTAAAAAAACAGGATGGATCGCCTTAAGAGGTTGAGCAAGCTACACCGTGAGCACATGAATTGCCCTTGGCTAAACTGAACAATATTGCTTAGCATAATGCGGTTAGGCAACAAGCGTGCATTAACCCGTTACTAAGCATAAATAACATACGAATCAGAGATGTTTAACATTGCGTTCCTGGAGAGCGATTCGTCACGCTTTTATATGCAGAGGGGCTAATTCGAAGACGTAGATTACGATTTTGTCGAAACGGTCCTGTCTCCATCTTTCAGTTCGATAAAACTCATTTCAAGCAATAGCAAAACCTATAAGAAATACTTCAAAATAGTATCCTGATAATGGGCGAGTAATGTAGAAGAGCATTGCTTATTGCAAGTTACAGATTAAGCAACATACTTCTGCGGTGCGCATAGGATATTCAAGCACCTTCCTATCCAATTAAGTTCGGCCCTCTGTATCGGGTTAGGTGGTGAAAGTTAGGGTTGCACGTACTAAAGCCAAGCCGCAGATTTTAATATTGCAGTCGATCGAAACAAAAACGGAAACAATTTAGAAGACTCCCGTAATATCGATGAAATTTGACCATCGCCTTCGAAATCACCATGAAACACAACATTAACGTTTATATACATGATTGTGAAAATATTCGACTCAATCAATGTTTCCAGCATTGTGAATAATGAAAGTAATTTTCCATTTATCATTGACAGTTGGCAAAAGGCTTCCAGATAAAGCGGTAGGTAACATATATGTATATATACATATGTGTGTCAATAAAAAACAAAATGTCTCTACTGCTAGTCGCGTCATCTATAGATATCGATCACTGAAGCCAATTGACTTTAACTACTGAATGTTTATACTAAGGCAGATCGGATGAGGTAAATAAGGTATGTCGTTCCAACGAAAGCCCATCCGTACACAACTGCCTTCTGATCTTTCACACTGCCGCGCTTGGCTGCAGGTATTCAAAAGTACACAGGTACAGTTTCGATCGAATGCATAACCATCATGAGATCTATTTACCGCCGTTCACGTTTGATTTCGTTTACCGCGCATTCCTCCACTCTACGCAACGGCGTCTTAATAAAACCTACTAGACATCAAGAAATGTTTTTGTGACGTTATAGTGACAGCGCCATTTTTATTGACATTTAGTAAAAGCCTGAGGCAGCCATTTCAAATATAGGTGCAGATTATGTTACGCAGACTCTTTCCCACTCGATTTTATAGGAGTTTATCAATAATAATTAATTTCACTAATCAAGTGTACATCAGCTTTGGAAGCGTTCCAGATCTATTGTCAAAATGCTGCTGGTCAAACAACTCAGACCCGTAGACTGTGTCTTGATCAATCCTATTGTAACTCCAGTGATAAAACAAGCATGTACTTCAATGGGTTATTAAACACCCGCGATTGCTAGGAGAATGGACGTAAATACGAAAATAATGCCGTAAGTGTAAAAACTTGACAATGAGCATCTGTTATAACATCGCCTCTAGTCGTACTCAGTACTAGTGAGCGTCGATCCACCAGGTGTCAGCGCTCAAGCCACAATAAGCATGTCTTCAAAACAATAATAACCAAAAGCATAACAAATCTTCTGTGTTTCAGTATTATAATGTTATATAATGTGAATAGTCAGTGGGGCGGAAGGCCCGTAAGCGGTAGACCAACGTCATCAGAAGCTACCAGGATAAAGCGTAGAGAAAGGACGAGCGTAACACTACTACACAATTATGATGATTATTATTGCCATTGTTGTTATCATTGTAAAAATATTTGTAAACATAGACTAGCTTTCTCAATGCAGTAACACCTATACTGAATGTGTGTACTATGTATTTGCGTATTGGACCTACCCTGTTTGATGTTCAGGGCAATAAACTATTAGTTAGGATCTATAAAGCAACGAAAACTGAGAGGCCTTCCAGTGGCAACATAAAAGCTGCTTCCTCTTTGAACCCCGGCAGTGCTTCGTTTTCAACGTTTGTTGCTCGAAGAACACCACTCACTTTGGCAAAACCACAGAAGTCGCCGTAGCCGATAGGCCGTAGACGGTTGCAGCAGCTGCACAACCAGCAACAGCACTGTCTTTGTTACTGTTCGTATGATAATACTAGATAACACACGGCCGCACTCTGCACACTTCGGGTGGTCTGTCAGCCGGTCGTTGTCTACCGTGGATTAATAGCGCCCATGATGACACTGATTCCCCACTATGCTACGTGATGATACTATTACTACGTTGGTGGGAAGGTCGTGCCAGGCTTCGGGTATCGGCAGCTCAAGCGGAGCGATACACAGCCGAGCGCCAAGATTGCACCGCTCAGATATTAACGTGTGGAGCCAAACACGTATAGTCGTCATGGAATCGTCCTAGGATCTTGGGTATCAAGTGGCGATTGTCGTGCGACAACATTGTTACATCTATGGAGATAATAACTTTTGAGAAGATAAGCAACCGAGCAGGTGACGCGGAAGGAATTCGTTTTGCTTAGGATCTGGTTGACTAGGCGTACTGCGCGAATGAACCGCTTTACGAGCGAGCTTAACCTCTGAAAACGAACTCAGTCAGATGCGTATGATTGTCAGCTGAGATCTGTCAGAATCACGGTGAGTTTTTTTTTCGGTTTTCACCACTGATTTTCACTTGTTTTTGTGTTTACTATTGTTTTAGCATGTTTTTAGTTCAAGCCGCAGCTTTACTTAGCGCCTTTTGATGGATAGCTAGTTTCGTTTCGGTAATGGCTACGGCACAGATTTCCGCCCCTCCTCTGTCCTATTCTAGCAACGAGCAACCGCAGGCTTGTCTAAATTAAAGTGAGTGCGGAGATGTAAACTGCTGTTGTGGGCTCTGGGCGGCGGGCGATTCCACCTCGTCAATTGCTAACTCCTTAGTACGATCGGATAGTGTGGAATCGATGGCGATTGTTGGTGACTAATTCGTCAACGTTCAGTCAGGTGATACACGTGCGCTGGATACCAAATGATTGTACCAGGTATGCCATATATCTCTAACCTTACGTGGATCCCCTCATTAGTTGACTGCTTATGCATATATATATATATATATATATATATATATATAATTTAACGTATCCCTGCGTTAATACCATACGCTATACGTTGCCATTCCTGGTGTCTCGTGCTCATTACCAAAGCCTCCGCCAGGGAGGTTCTGTAGCACCCATCACGAAGCTTTGCTTGTTTGTTTAACTTTTATCATTGATTGATAGTAATAATATTAATCAGTCACCGAATTAGGTGCTGATTTTTACCGGTTGACAAACATATCCGCACATACGAGTTATTATTCGTCAATTATCGTGAATACATCAAAAAGCAAAGTAAGACTCAAGTAGCTGTTCCTTTGGGTGGTAAGCTTGCTTAAATGGTGAATGCCTCCGCTTGAATCGATCACTTTCATCCCTGAGTTTCTCTATTTAATGGCTTGTAGCTTTACGGTTAGTTGGATTTATATTTCGTGAATGTGATTTGTTTACTGGTAGTAAATTAGGGATTCCTGTCCACAATGAAAGTAACACGAGAAGCCTAAATGAGCAAATGTGCATTCTTTCCTGGCTTCGCCTGAAGTTACTATAACCTTTCTTTACAAAACCAAGTAATTTTATAACGGAAAACAACTCCATCTTTTCATCTAAACAGTGGGTTCCTTTGCCTTATTGGCATCTTTATTGCCTAACTGCGGGAATCTGTGCGCTTTTGACGGGAAATTTCAGGACCCCGTTTCCTCATTATATAAGAACCCTTTAAGAGTTGATTGATGATTTTTAGAAATCAGAAGGGACAGTCCTTCTGTAGTTGCAAACACAATTATATACAACAACATGGGTTGTATTCGCCGTTGTGCTTGTGTTCTGTTGTCATTTGCGGTTGGTCCCATTATTTCATTATTGTGTTATTGTTGCTATTCGTGTCCTGCTCTTCTCCTTTTTGCTGCGGAACGGGTGGCAACCAATTGCTGTTCTTGCAGATGGCGAACTCTGAGCAAAAAGCGATACAGCTGTTGGCGGAAGCCGACAAGAAGCTCAAATCGGCTCAAGGATTCTTCGGGTCGATGTTCAACGCCGAGTCGAAGATCATCGACGCGTGCGAACTGTATACTAAGGCAGCGAATTCGTTCAAGATGGCAAAAAAATGGTCGGCTTCTGGATCAGCCTTTTGCAAAAGCGCCGAACTTCAGCTGAAGCTATCCAACAAACATGAGGCGGCCACCAACTATGGAGAAGCTGCTAACTGTTACAAGAAGAGCGAGGCCCACAAGGCCGTCGAATGTTTGCAAAAAGGCAATGAAATTTATACAGATATGGGGCGCTTTACGATGGCAGCGAAAAACCATATGATTATAGCCGAGATCTACGAGAACGAGATTGCCGACCTAGATCGTGCTATCTCACATTACGAACAAGCAGCCGATTATTTCAAGGGCGAAGAATCCTACAGTTCAGCAAACAAGTGCCTGCTACAGGTTGCCAGATACTCGGCACAGATGGACAAATATGAGAAGGCAATCAATATCTTTGAGGAGGTGGGTAAATCAGCCCTTGACTCAGCTTTACTCAAATCGAGCGCAAAAGAGTACTTCTTTAAGGCGGCGTTATGTCACCTGTGCATCGACACGCTCAACGCAACCCAAGCGGTAGCAAAGTACAGCGAGATCTTCCCCGCTTTCCAGGATTCGCGCGAGTGTAAACTCATTACGACGCTTGCTACCAAACTCGAGGATCAGGATTTGGACGGGTTTACGGCAGCTGTCGCCGATTATGATGCCATCTCACGATTCGACCAATGGTACACCGACATCCTGCTCAAAATAAAAAAAGTGCTGCAGGAGCAAAACGATTTGTGCTAAATTGAAAACGACATAGCGTGAATGACAACAACAACTGAGTTAACTCAAAATGGCCGCGATTCTATTCGGATATGGTTAAATTATTGTTGCAGTGGGTGCAGCGAAGATCCGCGAGCGCCCCAAGCCACCGCCTGGCGAGCAAAGAGAAACATACAGAAATCATGGAAAAAGGTGTGGCACTACTTGTTAAAGGCAACATGGTGTAACATGGCGTGAAACGCAAATATTGATGATTGCTGGTATCGATGCTTGACGCCGTAACAGCGTGTTTGTTTCTTACAAGTTTTCTTCACCGATCCAATGTCAGTCGCAAAGGCAGAGTCATGCAGACAGTGTACTCAGTTCATACATCTCGTGGTTTCAGTTCAATCGCGAGAAAGGAAAGCAAGGCAATCGAACGGAAAAAACTAGTAGCTAGGTGAATATCAACAGTCGATCTCGGTTATTATTAAATGGCGGCCTATTCAATTCTGTGTCGCTCAGTGCGTGTGATGGAGATGAACTGAATGGTCAGTCGGCATGATTACATGCAGTGGAAAAGTGTCACGTATATTACGACGAATAGGTACATCCAGTTAGCCAAAGTGGGTGATGATAGCGATCGTTAAGGTTATAGTAAAGTCGAATAATAGGCGAGATGTCTGCTGAAAAGAATCTCATGTTAAAAGGAATAAAATGGCCACTAGATGTCACCGGTTCCGATTTGTGCTTTCTGGCTAATATCCTTAATGTTTTAAGGTAACTAAGCGCAAAAGGACTTGGCAACTTATGCTGTAAACCTTTTTGCTTCATATATTTACGCACGAAATGTGCAGAGGAAAAACTATGAACACAATCGTTCTTTGACCTCCAGTCAACCGTAGTGGAATGGAAGATATGGTGTTGGCTTTCAAACGAAAAGGATCTCGCGGAGAAGCTTCATATGATCGGAAACGAATTCGATTGACCGGAAAAAAATAGGTGGTTAATTCAATTCGATCAAGCAAATCGTGTCGAAGCGAGTTGCCTGTTCTGTTCTACTGACAAAAGAACAACAAAATTGTATTGGTGATTCTAGATTCAAGGTCACATGGCTGGAACCCATATGTTTTAAACCATTGCTCACTTGAGCTAGTTATTAAACAGTAGCAAAGAATTTGCTTTTTTTTGAATAGCTGATAAAACGTCGCCAAGCCTAATGAAGACTGGGGCTCTATGTGCCGTCGGCGATTACGTCGACTGGATGTAGCAGCGATGTAAAAAACCCATTGGCTAAATTCTTTATGGAGAAAACGAAAGAACGTTCGTATATATATATATATATAGGAAAACGCTTATTTTGTACGAAGTGTTTGCTTCTGATGCAATATTCACAGCGTTTAATGGAACGAAAAAAACACAGGTGGAGCAAAAGCCGCTTTACAAAAGAGTGAATCCACGTGATAAAAAAATGGAGTATAACCTCTAAAAAAAATCATATAAACTAAACACGCTGCCACATCTCTAAAAAGCTCGTCCTCAGTTAACGAAAATTGATCTCAAAGCTATACTTCTGCAATTTATCGGTTTGTTATTATCCTTATCTGATTTCTTGAGCTGTTTTTCGTGTTTCACGTCCGATACTTAGGTCATTAGGCACTGTTTCAGATTGGTTCCTCCAGCACAAAACGAAGTGTCGACGCGCGGATTCAAACTTAGACCACTCCTCACAACTTAAGCTTAACAGGCAAACATGTTAGCTATTGCGATGCCGATACCGATAAACTGTCGGATAAACCTTCTCATTTCTAGCAACTAGTTGCTGCGATTTGACACACGCAAATGGGGAATTTTAATTGTAAAATGTTTTTTTTTCATTGCTCTTGTATCAGTTGCTACTTGAATGTACGGCAAATAAACTAATTGTTTTGACGAATATAGAGAAAAACATAGTAATGAGTGGCTCGTGCTGTGTTCCATTACGGGACGCTAAATATCATCGTGTTTTGTTTTATACAAAAAATAAATTACCCGGGTTTGGGATAGCGGGCATACAGCTTTGTCGGAGCTTCTTTCCGCGTCCATCGCCACTATTACATCAGAGCCATGAATTACGTTTTCTTGGACTATTACGATAAGAATCATTAGCTTGGCATTGCTGTCCATGCGTGACGATTGTCTCGAAAATAGAATCAACAAGTGCAATAGAGAAAAAAATTAAACAACCAGCAGCTGTGAAGAATTCTATTCCGCCTGTTTAATGCTATGGGTTTAACTTGAGTGGTTTTATATACTATTGTCATATTACTGTTGTACATTGTTATACGTAGATGACATCAGATAAGAAACATATATATATATATATATATATATATATATATATATATATATATATATATCGCCGTTGTTTTAGACGTTAACCCAGCCAAAGGGTGTAATACGGCAGGCTTCTTTGGGCGGCTTTTACTAATCACACGCGTCATGCAAAAGGTGATAATGAATATTATAAGGACACAGCGTATGGAAAAACGTAAATTTTACGCAATTATTTAAAAATAGAGAGACGAAAAGGCGAATGCCGCAGTTAGAAAAAGAGGAATAAAAGGGAGAAATAGCCGAGAATGATTAGTGGGTAATGATAATCACTTCTTGGGAGGGGCTGTTGGTACGAGGAATGGATGAAACTAAGCTAAGTAAAGATAATGGTAAGAACATTACTAACAGACAACTATGACACACTAACAACGGCATGAGCTGCGATAAGAGTTCGCGAAATCATTCGACGTCATGACGAACATCAACATCATAGATCGAGGCTAAGCATGATTATTGGAGGGTTATAGAAGATCACCATTCTGAGTAGAAAAATAATATTATTGAGACACAGTACACTATGAGATATAATAATAACGAGATCGGCGAAAGAAGCTAAGAATAACGATTCATAAAACGACGAAAGTGTGGATTAACGAAAACAAATCGCAACAAATCGAGATGACGATTATGGGAAAAATCAATGTCATATATCGAAGACAAAACACATTTTATTTCGCTATTACGACACGTTACCAAAATACGTTATATTTTTATTGCTGTTTTTAGTATCATATTACTATTATTACAGGAGTACAGATGCTGATGATCATATTGTACTAATGTACTAAGGAGAGATAACGATTACTCTAATAGTAATAACAGAAAATGTTCATATTATGTAAGAAGCCAATAGGATTATTTACAAATAGTGTAGCGTAACACTATATTAACATAATTGTAACAATAAGAATAATGATGATAGTTAATGATGATGCACTCTTGTATATTCTGTTTTACCAGTGCTTAGTTATCATAATACGGTGACGATGAATAAGAATAAAGGATTCTAACAATAGCAATTATTACTGCTGTTAACCCGACTGTTTTGTGTTGTCTTTTGTGATCGCTACTTTTAACAAGATCAGGGTAACAAGGGTCTAGTTGGAAGTATTTATCCATTAATTCTGTTTTTTTTTTCTCATTTAACTCATTTTGGTTACACACACTTCTGATTCACTTTGTAGATTCAATTCTTATATTAATAAATATAGTTATTATGATTTAATATAAATGGGCTATATTCAGCTGCGAAATTGTTTCTTCTAAAGTGCATCGTCGTGTATAAGTGTGTGTGTGCCTTTTTGTTCCAACGTTTCTTTCTATTCCAAAAATCTAAATTCAAGCTTTGTTTTTTAGGCTGTACTGGCATAAATTTGTGCAGTAGCTTGTATGTTTGTTACCTGGTAATTCAATTGTTTGAAATCGCAACTTAAACTATAGACGGATTTGCATTTATAACGAATAACTATACTTTCGTAAATAATGTGCGATTTAGTCACACCCGGAGTGCATTTAAAGTAATCATTTTTAATATGATGAATGAAAATGAGAACACAATAAACAACTTGAAGGAATGGTACTCTCAAACCTAACAAGTAAGGGTTCTCAGAAGTACAATATGTACCAGAGATATGAAACCTACAAGATGTAAACGAAATTAGGAGAATGTGCTAAATTATTATCGACATTAATTGTTCTGTTTGGGTTGTGTTTCAGCAGGTGATTAAAATCCACTATAAACAACAGACTACTACTCTCGGAATGCTCAAGCAAAGTCCCATAGTGCTTCTTTCAGGGTGATTTTTCTTCAATTGTGCCACAGTTGTAATTTACATCACTAAGACGTATTTATACCTTGGATCTTCGCCGATCATCTAATAAATATATAGCAATTCTTGCTATATATTCGTGCGATGTCATTCGATCGATAAAGAAATGCATTTGTGTTGAGGTCTTGGAACGAGAACTTCCAAGGATGAGTTCAAAGTCAGTGTCCTCTAGTTCGACTCGCGAGGAGGTTGATGATGCGGTCTCAATCGCTTCGTCGTTCCGCTACGACAACCTTGCCCAGCTGATCGAGCATCTACCGAAACAGATATCCCGAGACGTTCTCATCAAGCTTCATCGGGCATGCCTCGAGTGCGACGCACGCTGCCTACCAAAAAGCGATGAGGTGGCTGATATGCTAATGGCAATTGTCTTTGATAAGATTACATCAGCGGCGGATCAACAATTGGCATTAACCGTCCTGCAGCATTTTATAAGCAAGAAGCAGCTAACTGAAATTTTGCCATCACTCACCATAGCCCAGACGGAACTGCTCCTGTCGCTTGTGCTCATGGAGCTTGACGAGTACTCATTGGTCAACGAGCGTCTTCTTAAAGCCTTGCAAGACGATACTGTGAGCGGAGTCACAAAAAGGAATATATTGTGCTTTTTTACTCAAGTCCTGTTATTATATCCCGATCGCATGCCGCCTTTCATAAAGGACTCAATTTTAAAGAGAATACCAAATTGGCTAGATGACGTAAACAAAAAGTCGTTTACTGCAGCTACACAAGTGCGTTCTCTTACTGCTGACCACTATCTAAATGTCGCCGTGTTTTCGGTTCTACCTCAGTGGTTGGAACTATGTCATCAGGAAAATCACCCACAGAAAAATGAGGTTTACTCTGCCGCGATGGAGTACTGCTCGGCCGTTATCGAGCTCGCCGTACAGCAGGGAACACAGGAATATGCTGGCATTTTATGCAAAGCAATAAATTGCCTAAACATGCTATGTACATGTGATCCCTCAGAACAGACTTGGGCGATACAATGCGTTTCGAAAGTGAAAACAAACGATTTTCTGCTGTGTCTTGAGGTGGAGTCATTTTTAAGCAAGTATATGCCAGATTACTCACAAAGAAGCGCAGCGTTGGCGAGTGTCAATGTAGCGGCCATTATTTCGGCTGGTTTGTCGAACACCAGCAATGCACACGTCGTGATCAACTTTCTTCGTACAAATCTGCAGAAAATGGCGAAGCACATTCAGTACAACTTGCCGGGTTACCTAAAGATATTTTCGCGTTTCCCGAAACACATCGATATGACGGAGGTATTGGTATACAGCATAACTGAGGCGAACTATGAGTCAGTATTTAAGAAGCTGCTCCTTTGTCCTGCAGTGTGCGCAGCTCTAATGATTCCTCATGACAAAAGCAAAGAGGAGATTTTCGAGTCAGTTAAATCCACGTTGCATATCCTTCTGAGAGAGTCCTTTGCATCAACGAACAAGGCAGACCAACAGCTCAGTATGATGGTTACAGCATTGGCCCCGATGAGTTACTATCGACGCGTCGTGCATGTGGCTGATACAGTAGCCAATTCTTTATTGCACACATACTTTGAGACGCTCGAAACCAACTATCCGCGGCATTATTTCGAGCTGCTAGCTCGTCTCATTTGCGACCTACCCAAAAACCTACTTATGCCTGTCGAAGGCTATCTCGAGGAAATTGAGCACATGATCATCGAGCTTTACTGCGAAAACATTCTCGAGATTCCCCAACCCATTGAGACGCTTCGTCGAAGCGACCACGCTTCAACCGTCATAACGAAACTGTTACCGGATGCTGACGAAGATACATGTGAGGAGTATCTCTCGGTGCTCATGGGTCAGCTGCAATTGCAGCTTCCACCAGGACCAGCGACGAGGGCTCGGATGCTACGGGTCGTTAATGCGGCTGCAATGGTAGCACAGAAGGTGTCACCCGAACAACGAAGTCTTCTACTAGAATCGCTTTCCCAAATGAGCGTCAAGCCATCAGACAAACAGCTGTACGAACGTATCAATCAGCTGTCAGCAGAAATTCAACAAAGCGAACCGCATCTTTACGCCAGTTCCGCCCTGTTCAATATGATAGACAACCTTTATAGAAACTAGACTAAATGAAAAGTGATATCTATTTTTGAAACAATATTTGTTAAGCTGCAGCAAATAGCAATGCTTATAAATTAACAATATTAAACAAAGAAAACAGTCTTGAGGGTCCAGAAGATCACGACATTGTTAGGTTATATACAGAGATTAAAATGGGTAAAAAGTATATTTTAATCGGATACTCAGATTGGAATCGTAAGAAAGTAAAAAAATTGATTTTTTAACATAGGATACCTCCTCTTTGAGCACACACATATGCAGCTATGTAGTCGTGGCCAACAGAATGTCTAATAAAAAAAAAAAAGCTGTAATATGATTGGGTAGGTGAACTCAGTGAAATAAGAATCGTTTTTTAGGTTTAAACCTGCCTATTCAAAGCAATTTAAACGGCGAAATTTGGCGTTTACAAAACGGCTACTCTGAAATACTCCAGGCTGCATTATGTTACTGGGAAGGTATTACTTATCTCTTGATTTTCCAGGTAGTCATTATTCTTATGTCAGTAACCAGTGTTTCTCCAAAAAAATAGGCTGACAGTTCATTAAGGTGCGGGCTAGCAGGTTAAGTACCGTTCAATGGTTGCTCTCTGTTTTCTTAAACAGAGGGAATGAAAAACTAGGTAAAAAAATATCAAATGCTAAGAACATGGTGAGAACGAATACGCTTAATAAATTAAGATATGAAGGAGTTAGCATTTGGCATAGAATCTCGTTTAATGACACAAGCTATTTTACTAGCGTAGCTTATTAATCTTGTCTACCATATTGCATAAACAATTGCATAATATTAGATGCATTAGACGTTAGGTTTATATGGCAGCTGTGTACGCAATTTTTTGAGGCTGGAGGCTGAGGAAATGTTGATCTGTTTTGTCGATCATAAATTAAATAATAAAAAGCGAATAAAATCTGAAAATAGAAGATAAATGCAGTTATTGGTAAATTATTTTTGGGGCTAAATAAATATTGTGCAGTAGCAAATTGGAACAAACACAAATAGCATATTTAATTAGCAAAAAATAAACTCGCATTTGTTCACAACATATATATCTGTTTTATTACCGATGCAGGTATCGCACCTGTTAATTGCAGTGGTACTAAGATTGCTGTAACGCATGGCAGAAAATCCTGCCATGTCGAATGCAGTGTATGCCTAAAATTGTGACATCATGATGTACATAAAAATCTCATTAACACATTGAATCATAATAAACTAAATATTAGGTTATAGAAAAGGATTCACGCTTTACTTTAACTGGTGGTTAAAAATCGTATAGCTCTAATAATACGAATTGTATTGAATCGTTGGAGTACCTTTACTCAGAATTCCTTGAAAATGATTAAAATTAATAAAAAGAAAGGTGCGCTATATTTTACAGTTTAATTACGATCAAACTACTGTTCAGACCCATAGACAAAATCGTGCCATTTATGGCCAAGAGGCGTTATTGGAAGAAGCGTTATGAGAAAGATCGTTCTGGCGCTTTCGTTCTAGAAGTTTCGATATAAAGGATGCCTCTCGTAGCATCAACCAATTACGGAAAAGTTGACGAATTTATTGCAAAAGTCGAGCAAGACTAATATGTAATTACCCACAACATCGCCACGAAATTGAGCATCTCCCATCAAACACTGAATTATTCGAAGAAAGCTGGTAACAAAAGAAAGCTCAATGTATGGGTGCTACACGAATCAACGCAAAATAAAGTACTCGATTGTATCTCTACTCGCAAGATTCTACAGGAACGCAACAAAATTGAGTTATTTCTAAACTGGGTGATCCCGGGTGATGATAAGTGGGTTCTTTACAAGAGTAATGCGAAAATAAAAAAAAATGTGCGTCGCAATCCTCGATAAAACCTTAACTGACGCCAAAGAAGGCGATGCTGTATTTTTGGTGTATTGGAAAGGAATCTAAGTTGTTGCCGCCTGACAAACCGATTTATTCGGACTTCTACGGTTAATAAATAATAAGATTACAACAAGCATTAAAAAAAATTACTAATGAACAAAGAAGGCCATGACAATGCCAAATCACATTTTTAGTTATCTGGCAAAAACTGAATAAATATGGCAGGGCAATTTTAACGCGTTCCCCGTATAATCCGAATTTTTTTACTATCAAATTTTTTTCAGTCTTTGCAGAACTCCCTTAAGTTTGTTAACTTAGTTTCAATAAGGATTTATAATAAGCTACAACAATAAGAATAATAAGTTTCAATAATCACGATTTTTAACCCAGAAAGCACAGAAATTCTACAGTGATCGGATTATGGTGTTGCCATAAAAATGACAGAAGGTCATCGATTAAAATGGTGCATATTTAGTTTACTAATATTATTCTAAAGCACAAAAAATATTTGTTTTAACATTTTGGCTTCAAATGGTCAATACTTTTTCGACGACCCAATAGGTTTAAACTTAAAATCGCTTTTTATAAAGTAATTACGTACGTACGAGTTTTATCGATACACTACGCAATATAAATGAGCAATTCAACGTATTTGGATTTTGCTGACCACGTTCTTTTGAATAAGTTCATACGTATAATACCATTCTTACTAAAAAAATGCGGAAGAACGAGAATATTTAAAAACTCAGTTTTGATTTTTCTAAAGAATTGAGCACACACACTGAATAATCACTTGCAATATAACATAAGTCAAGTTTATAAGAAAATATTACCCTTTTTTTTTCTGTTAGCATGTACGATGTGAGTCATTATACAAGTACATAGTTTTGCATATTTAGTTTTTCACAGTCCTGAAAGACGGAAGCAAGCTTGAATCTCTACGCGTAACAAAGGCATGTGATATGTTCACATGTAGAAACGGATTTATCGCGAGAATGTCTAGTATCAGCCGCCAGTTGCATTATTATATTATAAATTAACAATCTTTTCATCAATAATGTAAGCACTATAACGAACATTGCCACGGCGTTAATTATTAGCCACAAATAATCATTTACCGTTGATCGAGTGTTCTTGTTTTGAATAGTCACAAAGCTGATATAATAATACTTCCAGCCGAATTCATCGGGCACATCATAAATCATATGAAATGAATGTAACACTACTTATGCGCCATTTAGTACAGGTCGATTTAAGCAATCGGGTTCCTATGTGACCGACAAGAAATCAGTGCTTGCAGGTATTTCTTCTCTGGTTAGCATAAAATATTTATCTCAATAAATCATAGTGGTTTTTTGTTTAATAATTGAGCGTTTTCTTGACAGCTTCAAGCACCTTCCATTTCGTTGGCAGGTAAAACGGCTCAAATACATGCGGGAACGGAGTATCATAACCGGCCACTCTGGCCACCGGGGCCTCGAGATAAAGGAAGCACTCTTGTTGAATAGAAGCGGCAATCTCTGCACCAAACCCTGCAGTTAGGGTTGCCTCGTGTGACACAACAAGACGGCCTGTCTTTTTTACTGACTGCAATATTATCAATGTTTTGTCAAATTAATAATAAGAGCAGATTTCTGGTACGGGACTTCGGTTAGTGCAGTAAGGGAACCGAGCACTAGGATTCTCAACAATCAACAACGGCCTTTGATGATATGTTATCTTTGACGACAGCGCCCTGAACAACCATTATGTGACAGAAATGATCACGTAGCTCTAACTTAGGCTTAGGGATGGTATTTACATCTAAAGTATTATACATAATCATACTGTAGCTATTTAGACTCACATCAACAACTGTTTTTTTGTCCCATGGGATGATCGTTTGTAGGTCGATGACCTCGCACTCAGCTCCTAGCTGTTGTTTTGCCAAATCGCACACCTCGTTTAGCACATGAACTTGTGTACCCCAAGATACCAGAGTAATGTCCTTACCTGTGATATAAGACACATGAATTAGTAAAGAAAAATGTATCATTTATAACATTACAAAACAGATGTAATCGTTTGTTATGATCCTTTACCTACAACGAACAATAGTCACAATCCCTTTGATTGAAAACGAACATCGTCAGTATTAGAATGATGTATGTATATCGAAGCTTGCGTATTCGGTAAATTCTAACCCACACAATAGTATATAGTGTATCCTGGTTTTTATTTAAATATTTGCACAACACACCTACAATATTTTAAGGCTTGCATATCGATCAATTTTTTTAACACCTGTCGTATAGCATATATGAACCTATAAACATGTTATGAGATAGGATCGAGTATAAACAACCACAGCGAGTAAGCGAGTATGGTCGCATACTGGAGTCACTTTATTTCTAGCCTAAACCGGCTAGTTAGGTTAGTTAAATATAAACTAACAGTGATTTTATTGATGTTCTTTGTGAGTTTAAATTTTTCACACAAAAAATATACCGGGTCTAACGATTTCTGCTTGTGAAAGAGGGATCATAAAGTCGTTTTTGGGTACGTCTTCCTGGGCAATTCGATAGAGAATTTTCGGTTCGAAGAATATGCACGGATTCCGATCCCGGATGCAAGACAAAAGCAGTCCTTTTGCCTGTGTCGGACCCCGAGGTATGACAAGCTAGCGTTGCCATATTCCATAACAAAGTTAGAAAACAAAAAAGGCCTATTTTATTAATAATTTTGTTGCAGTTCGATTTCCAACCTGATTGACACATCACGGTTTTTTAAAATGAATACCACGTGTAAATCAACAGTCATATAAGGGTTTGCAAAAAAGCAAGTAGCCTCCGTTTGGGTACAGCAGTCACCTTAAGTCCCGGACAATGCGCAAAGTATCCTTCTACCATTTGTGAATGATATAAACCGCCATGCCCTACAGCGCCGCAAGGTGTGCGAATGGTTAATGAGCCCACGTCAAATTGGTTACCCGTTCGGTAACGGAACTTAGCCGCCTCGTTAACAATCTGCATAAATGGAATAGTGGTTCAAGCAGTTGTTAAAACAAGTCAAAAAGGTTCGAACCTGTTAAGTTTAAGAAAACACTTACAGAAATGACAAAAGAGGTTTTTTAGTATGATGAAATGAAAGAATCGACACAGATATATGAATATTCGGGATGGCAACCGTTTGATATATTACTTCTGTTTGTATTTTTATGTTATTGCGGTATTTTGAGGTACCTGATCAAATGCTGGGAAGATGTAGTCTGCAAATTGCATTTCGGCTATCGCAGTAGCGCCGCTTATTGCGAGGCCAATTCCAAATCCCGCAATTCCCTGTTCACACAGCGGAGTATTAAATACACGGTCTGGTCCATATTTTTTCTGAAGTCCCATCGTGCAACGAAACACACCACCAAACGCAACGTCTTCACCAAAAACCACTACATAAGAAAGCAAGCTTAAATCAGTGTAAGCCCTTAACATATGAGATGACTATATCATCTTTACAACATATAAGGTAATTATATAATCTTTACAACATACGAGGTAATTATATCACCTTTACAAGTGGTTCCAATTCATCTTTTGTCAAAACTTGGAGCTTTGACAGTAGACGAATCAACAACATAGTAATAACATCACGGCCTATTATTATCACGGGCTAAATTCTATCCAAAATCCAGGCTTTGCGAGAAAAAAAACAACTTTAGAGGTGGATCGTTTACATCTTGAAGTTTTATAATCGAGTTCCATAAAGGCTGCCAGAGTAAACGTTAAGAAAAATTCTTCCCTGTTCCTTTTTCGGGTAAACAAAAGAATTTGATTGATATAAGGAACGATTAGACAGGTAACTAAGCAAGCAAGTAAAGTAGTAGAAGACGATTAAATTATACTTATAGCATTACTTGAAAAGATTGCTGGTTTGTTTCATCATTGTCTTTTTCCCTGACATTTACAATTGATTGGAGAGTTCATGCTTGTTACAGCTTACATTGAGGTGGCGCATACCTGCGGTAGGATCCTTTGCAAGAGCAAGATCTAAAGCACTGGTAATCGACTGGAACATATTTAACTTCTCCATCTCACCTAAATACCAGATCATTAAATACATGTAGGTTGGCTTAAAATTGCGGTTGCTACATGTTGTTCATGAAAATGTGCGGATTTCTTTTAAAGACTTCATTAAAGTTCCACAAAGGTCGTCTGGGTGAATCACTTTTACAACTGTAAGACATTTACTTTCTGGAAGACTAGAATACAGGTAGCTTGGATGCGTTTTCAAGAGTTTCTAACTCTTGAAAACTATGCCATTGTAATACACGATACATCAAAAATTTCCAGATAAACTTAAAAGTTCGGCCCTGGATAAACAACAATATTTACGATAGCTTTCCATTGATCAACATCGGATACGTCAATGAAGGAACATCTGAGGTATAATATGATTTACAAATATATATTGTAGTCCCCAGAAGCGATCAATATTAACAAATTATCCTCTTATTGCTAAAAATTTAACTTCACGTCTTTTTGCTGCTACTAATTTTTTGTCAATAAATTTGCTGTAAAATTCCTTGCCAATTTAGGTTACTAAATGGTACATATTAATGAACAATCCTGCATAACTTTAACAAAGCACTAGTGTGTGTAGTAAGTATTCTCAACATCTGCTTCAAGTGATTGCGTTCAAAAACCTGCAAAAAGCGCGAAAGTCACACAGTTCCAGACAGATACTTTTCTGCGTGCTAATTTATCAGGTACTCGAGATGGGTCTCAAATATGCTGGATACCCTAGACAGCATCAGCGAGCAAATAATGGTTGCCATCTTTACGAGCAAGATCCTTGTCACATTTTTAAAGACTAGTTTAAGCTAGACTCACCTTTTACTGGAGGCTCGGTTTGGTTAGGTGTAAAGGTAAAATGCGCAGCAGTACGCTTCGACTGTTTGACATGGTTTCTGATGAGATCTGATGTCCGAAGGAGTAAAGAGACACTGCGCAACATGCTGATTCCCAATATCGCTAATGCTACAATGTACTTCACTTTATTAGAAGAAGCTCACCACCAGCAGTGGATTGCTACTATTCCACCTTAACCAGAGGTTACAACGCTCCAGCCAACGATTCCGGTCTGTACTGGAGAATTCTACTGAGTTCAACCACACCATCTAAAAAACACTAACGGTGCCCTCTGTTTATTCGCACTGCAATTATCAACAGACTGTCCTGCACCTTTCAACTCGTCATTTGGGCTCTTCTATTGAAGTTTTACTAGCGATTGATGGATCCATCGAGCTATTCGTGTCGGGAAACAGGTGCAAGGGAAAGTCCAGAGGGCGAGGGAAACGTACATTGTCTGCTATAGATTGTCGCGAGTCGGGTGGATACTGTACTGAACACCCAAACTGGGTGAATAGATCTTACCAGTATAATAGAACAGCTAAGTGTTTATCAAATAAACAAAAAAACGAAGGGCAAGTGGTTTTGTTGGGAAAAACAGCCTCTTGCTTTGCGACAGGAAATATACTGGAAAATGTCATCTAAAAGCTGGTAGAAGCAAATATAAGTAAAAGACCTACTGCGAATCGGAGAGTTGGTGCAGACACTCTTGGTTATTCGCACTCCTTAATTAACAATTATAGGTTGTTGTTCGTATGCAGTAGCTTATAAGTAATAAAGTAAGAGGATGTTATTAGATGTAAGAGAATACCGATATATAGCTCTTTTCTGTGGACGAGAGTGATCACCTATGGTTTTACGCAACCAGAAAAAATCTAAATACTTTTTTGTCACATGAGTATTGATTTATATTAAAAGTCATGTAACCAGATTAACCTAAATTCTTCTAAGGCTAATTTGTCGATAATATTATATTACTTATTTTCTGTTTTCTCCTTATTGAACATCTCAGAAACCAACGTAAAGATCTACTTCTAGAGATTACACTAGCCCTCCGAGCTTTGCGAATTTTTTTATAACTGATCGACTACTATGAAGAGCACTTTTAACGTCGAAATTTCCAGAACGAAAACCATCATTGGGTCGATTCTTCCGATGACGGATTTTGACCATAAAGAGCATATTTTTTTTTATAGGCCTGCGCAGCATTTATACTCAATAAGATTGTGAAATTTCTACAGAAATTTCAATCACCTTCAAAACGCTCGATCTAAATAAAAGCATTCCAAGAATAATAACACATTTACTTAGGTCAAATCGCTATAATATAAAGGTTAAGATGCGTTTTAAACGCCTGCCAAGTGTGGTTACCTGAGACATGTTGCGTTCCTTCTTCACTTTTTTCCTTTCGCCATTTCCATGATTTTCTCATATTCCTGATAATCAGGCATTCTGGTCTACATTATAAACACAGTTATACTCTGCACCATTCTGTTTGGTTATTGGATTTTCCGGTTGCTCGAAGCTATAAATTTGATCCCCGGGGATATGTAACGGAGAAGGTAAGCATACAGCAAAGTACCTGTCTAATGCGAAGAAGACGACACTTCTGAATCTTTCTAAATCAAGTTAGCTTATTTCAAACATTGCTTATTCTTTGGAGACATTTGTGAAGTTTCATGTTTATTAGTCGCCAGAGAAAAAATGGTCTATGGATATTCTATTGACTGATACGTTGTTGAAGCAATCGTCGGCCATTTTTAGTGATTCTTCAGAGCGTAATTCTCTGTAATGTACCACAAACAGTATGTATGTATATATATATCGGCGAGTCCACAGAAGTTTTCTCAGTCCTATTGAAAGTAATGCTCAGATAATTACTCCATTTTTATTTAAGTTTAAGAAAGAGAAATATAGACTTCATCTCCGAAAACGACTAATTTTTGAGAAAATGCCACTTTCGTGTTGATACATGACAATTTCATACATGCCAAAAGTTTTAGTTTAATTTTTTCAGTGGGTAATGTAAGTTTTTGACCAAAGGAACAAGTAAAATAAAAAGACATTTTACAAATGTTCAGTCTTTCCTAACCATGATCGAATTTCAATGCACCAATAAACTGTCCAATTACAGGAGGCGGTTTCGCAAATGCTGACATTACTTTTTAGATAGAATCAGCTTAGTTCTCCAACTCCAGTCCCCAATTTCCTATCTTAATAGTTTACCACTAGTTCCACAATGTGTTCTCAACAACCCTTCCCGCCTAGCTTTGCAGATCACAACATTTTTTAACATTGAAAATAAATAAAAACTATTTGCAGATAACGTATCTGATTAAAAAAACACCTTAACATTCACAAACTCACTCGGCCAAGATTAACTAAAAAATAAAAACTCGCAAATTTTCTTTGATTATTGTACAATGGTGAGACATAATGAATATTTTATTTTTTAATTGTTCCGCCGATTCATGTACTTCATGATCTTTTATCGCAGTCATCCAACCTTAGCAACAAAGAGAGTTGTTCCCTGCTGTCTTGTTCACATTCTATCAATTTATACTGGTCAGCTTCGCTGCTGCGTCGGCCATTTTGCATCGTTTTTTCAGTCACTCTCATCGGAATCGGCCCGTGCCGCCATTTGTCTGCTATCGATTTTTTCTGTCCGAGGATTAGCCAACGCTTTCTCACGATTCTTCATCGACTGCAGTGCCCTTTCCCGTAACAAACGTTCTTTCTCCTCAAAATCATCTCCTTCAGAGTCGGACTCCGAATTTTCTTCGTCGGATTCGCTCTATAATTAGAAAATTAACGGTATTATAAACCTAAAACCTGTCAATAGCATATTTTTATGAATTTTTAGCTATTTTGATCCATTCCGTCTGATTTTCTAAAGAACGAAATTTTCAAGATAAGACAATACACCTAATTGAATTGGATACTCTTAAATATGTACTAAACAATACTTTTCAAAATGTGAGTCTTAACACATTCCCGCTTACTGAAAAGGGATACGAAATCCTAGACAACACTTTCGTATTGAATGTCGTCTAGATATTGCGGAATTTTCCTGCAACCGGTTCACTTTATTAAGCTATTCTTAGGTGTTCGCAAAGCTACGATGTCAATAAATGAAAATGACAATACATTTTATTTATCTGGACGAACTTAAGATCTGATGATGAAGGAAATGTATATTAACCTGTTTCCTGGCCTTTTTCGCCTTTTTGCTACTCTTCTTTTTCTTGTCCTTCTTATGCTTGTGTTTTTTGCTCTTCTTTTTGGCTTTTTTCTCTCTACGTCTCTCCTCCTCGGGAGATTCTTCGGATTCTGATGAGCTACTCTTAGCAACCGATTGCCTCTTGACCACCGGAGACGAACTCACTGAACCCCTTTCACGAACCGGGCCTCTCACATCCCTAGGTATTGTAGGGCTGGGTGTACGGGTAGGGCTTACTCCTGGAGGGGCTAGGGGACTCGAATCTGTAATTGCAAGGTTCCAAAGTTAGCTACATAATGTTTTACTGATAATTGATTTAGTCGACTGTGCTCAAACCTGCAATTAGATATGTTACTTGTCAGCGAAATTTCATTGCTGATGGTGGTAATCGCATGAGGACGTAATTCTAATAGAACCCTTGCACAATGTTAGAGTAATACTGGCGAAAACTTCTAGAAAATCCTCAATTACCAGAAAAGGGATTGACTCACATTGCACGCACCGATGCGGTCTACCTAGTTTGCTCGTCAACAACTGATCGTTTTTTTAGCTGCATTTTAAACTGCAATATCTTACTCTTAGCATTCGTTAACGTTTTACCTCTCTCTCGGTGGTCAGCACTGCGGTGTCTTTCCAGTCTCTGGATTTGCTCCCTGCTGAATTCCCGTCGCTCTCTTTGTACTACGGGAACTCTTTCGTATAGTTCATCGTCGGGTGTGTGGGAACCTTTTCGCCTTTTTGGATCAGGCCCACCAGTTCCGTAATGCCTTGGCGAACTGCCGCTTCGTCGCTGTGGCGAGGCTACAAAATTCCGTCTGGGAGAATGAGCGAGGCGACGTGGTGAACGACTCCTTTTTCCGTCATTTGACACATGCCTCCTTGTATCTGGGGACATCCTTCTGTTCTCAATGGCCATTCTTCGACCTTCTGGAGATAGATTTCGTCTCGGTTCGGGGGATCTCCTCCGAATATTAGGCGATATCCTTCTGTCATCCGGAGACATTCGTCTCAGATTCGGAGACCTTCGTTTGAGTTCGGGTGATCTCCTAACTTCAGGAGATCGCCTTCTGCCGTCTGGTGACATTCGACGCCTATCAGCGGAAAGGCGCCTTCTTGAATCCGGTGACGCGATTCTCGCATCGGGCGACCTCCTGCGCATATCGGGGGACATGTCATCTCTAGGCGATCGGCCGCGCCTGCGAGATGGTGCTGTCCCTATTGTTCCTCTGTTCCTACCGTCAGGCGAGCGACGACGTATGGGCGACATTCTGCGTCCATCTGGAGATCTCCTTTTAGGACTGCCAGTGCCGGATAACCTACGTTTAATCAATAAGAACGATAAAAACCGCATGATCTCTATTAAGATTGAAGTTGTAATTACAGACTAACATAACATAGTAAGCATAGCTGAAAGCTGCTTGCTTTTTGTGTGCAACATGGGGACAATAAAGTAGTTCCCACGGATGAGAAAGTCATCCGCACAATGAAAACGAGACCTCTTTGCATAAGGTTCGGTTCAGCTACTATATACATGTACCTTTATTTCTGCTAGTGTAGTAATTGAATTTCTACAATCTACAACGAACATCGTGGTCACCCTTCCTTCTCAGTTGGGCAAAATACACTATCCAGAAAGGTCCAAATTTGCGCTACCTTCTTCGGGGCGACTCCCTCCTTAGTGGTGACCTCCGCCTTGGTGGAGGCGAACTGGGCGATCGCCGTTTTACAGGACTTCGGCGATCACGATCTCGTCTATCCCTTGATCGAGACCGGCTGCGTCTATCGTCCTGAAAATTGATCAGTCGCGCACGACATGCAAACTCCATTTAAACGCATCGCTCATAAACCTAGTTAACCTGGTGAAAACACAATTATTTCAATAACTAGTTTAATCGCATAGGCGGAAAAAAGCGATTTCAAAATTGATAACAAGGTAACACGCACCCGTCGTCGTTGATGGCGTTGGTGACCGTTGTTATTGTCGCGCTGTCTCGGACTGTTGCCTCGTGTCCCATGGTGATCCCGGTCACGTTCGCGATCTCGATCGCGTTCCCTCCTTTTCGGGCTCCTCCGACTATCCTGCTGTTTGTCGGACGTCCTCCTGGGTGAGCTCGAGTCGTCACGCTGTCCGCGATAGCTCCGTTTGTTCTGCACCGAATCCGCTGGCCGCTGATGAGGGCTTACCCGTTCGCTTTTCCCACCGCTACCCGGTGAATCCGACCGAGACCTGCAAAAAACGCTCATGTAACACCAATCGCAGGGGGCAGCGAAAGAACTTGTCTTCGATATCTCTCTCTCTCTATTGAGCATGGGAACATCAAACATACAGGTAGCCTACTTATTGTCGTTGTAGCGAAACATGCTAAACACGTATGCTATGATATCGTATCCCGTTATCATTGACTAGGTAACCAGTAGTTATTATAGGAGAAGTTCGACTTAAGAATGACCGCTCCCAATGATTCTATTAGCGTTATCAGTCGAAGGGCTTTTCCTCGATTTCCTTATTCGATACATGCTAAACGGAAAATAGTGGTGAAGTTGCTTTTCGACGTTTGGTGCTGTGTTAACAACTCTTCAATGCCTCCTCCTCTGGAAAGAACAGCGTGGCAACTACAGGCAAGGGTTCTACCGGGTCATCTTATGAGGTATCATACCTCGTGGGTGAATATAATTGAATGGGACGTTAATGGGGCAAAAATGCTAAATCAATGAGGAACTCAACCCGCTCCAGCCGTTGAGATCTTCGTGGTCTTCATCTGTCTCTGTGTCGTCTATTGCGTATCCTGGATTGCGTTGCTACGATCAGACAATAAAATCGTCTGTTATGCATATGCAGCTGCGAATGTTAACTAAGAATAAACCAGATCGTGCTGTAATTTGAATGTTCATGTTTTGAAAGGGCGTGCGAGAACTATTATGTAGAGTTTTTAAAAAACATCCGTTTACGGCAACAGACAAAACCTAAACAAAGTCTAATTTAATCCATAACATGCACGTACAGATGTTACAAGAGGTCGGCGGGTTTAAAGGCCTGCGGCATTGATAGATTTCTTCCACTTCCTTCTAATCTACAGAAATTAACGATCGACGCTTAATTTTTCGGACTATTCTTCAACTAATCACTGTACCCTTCGATACCAACGCGCAGAGAACATATTACAACTTCAAAAACTCACCTTCTGCGTGAATCTTTGCTCTGGGGGTCTCGATTCGAGTCCCCCGCCTGCTGTTGCTGCGGACTGTGATGCCGATGGTGGCGCTCACGGTCGCGGTCACGACTTCGGTCGCGACTTGGACTTGACGTGTCGCGGTTCGTCGCGGAATTGTTACGCGGGGGCGAACGCGAATGGGTACGAGCCCACGAGCGGCTGCGACTCCGGCTGCGACTCCGGCTTCGCTTGCCGGCGCTGGCACCCGTCGAAGACTTCGCCAACCTGTAGGTGTGTGTGTACAATGGTGCAAGTGGAAGATGGGTGGTGGGGTTCGTGGTGGTGGTGGTGGATGAGGCGGCTGCTGCTGCTGCATGTTGTTGCTGCTGCTGCTGCTGCTCAAGACTTCGCACAGCCCCACAACTCACACCACAACTCACGTCACGCAAATGCCCCTTCGGCCACTGCCAATAAACGAATCGCCTTTTTAGACCCAACAAGACTATTTAACTAAGACTACCAGCAGGCGAGACAGTTCGAGCTGGCCATGGTTGCCACATACTTCGTGTGTCATTTGACAGAGGACATGGCCTGCTGTGGCCCCCTCTGACGCAGACACACACACTCACACTCACTCACACTCGGTTCGTGGTTTCCCGATCGACACAGACAACCCCCACCTGTCTCCAGCATTACCTTCAAAGCAGCTGCTTTTTGTTACCAGCTGAAGTAAACGAAGTATGGCATGATACGCGGTATATCACAGACCAAAGATAATTAGATGTTGACTTTGCGGCTTATATAACCATCGTGATATAATCATGCTATTAACACTCTGTTTCACAGATCGGATTGTAAGGGTCATCTATGGAAAGAGTTATGCGTTTCCGTTAGTAAATCACACTGCTCCGACTTAGATCAGGGTAATAACAGTTCGCTTTAGCGACCGTCGCCATCAATGTGTAATTAGCGTGTACTGTTTTTTGTTGATAAAATATACACATTGTTTGCATACACATATATGTTCATTATACACATATGTATAACAATGCATGGTCCATTAAAAAGAAGATTAAAAGATTAAACAATTTTAAAAGAAGGTTCTATCGATTAACTTAGTACACTAGCCGTGCTATTATACCGCATTCTAATGCGAGAAACGCATGTCCAAACGTGAAATAAAAAGGCGTTTTTTTCAAAAACATAGTCCCGCCGATTCCTATAGTATTCCTGTTCACAACCTACAATCTGGTATACTGAGGTTCTTAAACTGACTGTTCTTCCAAACACAATCATATGTTAAAAGAGTTAAAAAAATTTCTTAAAGTGTATTTGGCATAAAGGTCTAGCTTGCCGCAAGGTGTAGCAAATCACGGGCCTCATAACATGATCTATATGGCGCTCGAATACTAGTAACAACTAAATTCGGTGAGGACGAAAACTCTGGAAGATAGCCAGGCACCTAGCACTACGTTGCGATTCGAAACTGATGGTGCGACTATTGTAATTGAGCTTATGTATAGCATGCTAATGGCTGCCAAAGAGTTACAAAGTACCCAAATTTACTGTCTAAGCAGTTTTAGAAAACTGTAGTTCAAGGAGGTTTCTTAACCTCGGTTCTCTTTCGATATTCCCATGCTGTTAACCGCCCTTTATAGCGTGCTATGTGGGTCCGAGCTCCACCCAGTGTAGCAGAATGATGAAAATTCAGAACATCCGAAAGCTATAATTAGAATTTATCAGTAAAGCCTTCGGAAGTCAAGGAAAGGTTAATACGCTTGTTGTACAGAATGGGTCAGTTAAGCCAGCAAGTCAAGCATTGAGTTATTTTCAATTATATCGGATCAATGCACTACCGGGCACATAAAACGCCATTAGCCGGAACATACCGTCCAATGTTCAGCAATTGCATAGGCCTCAAACGAAGCTTCGACCCGCCTTGCGAATAGAATTTTTCCAGTCTCCTAGACAATTTTACGACCGCATGCTACTATTTATCTCGACTGTAATCAGGCAATCACTTCAATTCGGCATTAGCAACTTATGCAGTACCATTATGCTGGTGAATCGATAAGGCGGAGTTGTGATGGTAGTAGAGGTTGCAGTAGTCATAAATGTTGTAGCAGTAGTGGTAGTAGTTAGGTGTTAATAAATACCTAGAGAAAAGGATACACTTACGCTTGGTTGGACAGTTTCCCTTCGGCGAGCCCTCTCTCTCTTTCGCGTTCCTCGGCCTGAGGTTTAAATTCGATTTTATTAGATTATCGCACCAGTGCCCCTGACATTGGCCTAACAAATATTCGATGCTCCGAATCAAACAGCAACGAGAAACGGGCCGATAACTGGTCAGATCGTTACAACGGAGGACTCTCTCGTACGGCTTCGCTCATGAATAATAATCACCGATAAAACCCTGCGTTCTATTTGTAAACTGAGTAACAATAAGAGAAAGCTGCCGCGAAACTATCGTAAATATTTTGGCGAATAAAACACGTTAAGTTTACAGAAATGTATTGTGTTTTCCTCCATACGATGGATAATGGCTAGGTGGACTTCTACAGCTAAACCTATTTGCCCTAGTTTTAAAAAATGATATAAGAACCAAGCACAATTCGGAGATTCTCAGCTGCAGCGAGCAGATCTGCCCACCCGCTTCGAGTGGTCTCCACGAATCCTGAGTCCTCTGAATTCTCCATCTCATTGTCTCCTGATCAACTAACCGCAAGTTTGATGCGAATCTCCTCTTTCTTCTTATCCAACAAGTCCGGGTGAACCCCGCCCTTACTGGCTTGCGCGGCCGCGAGCCTACTCCAAAGTTCGCCCATGAATTCTCGTGCGTTCTTGCCGTGCAGGAAGCCCGTCATGTTGATCTGCATGATTTTCGGGTCTGGGTACTACCAAACATTTTTATAACGTTAAAATACTTTTTCCCTCATACTGTTTTGTGAATTTACAGTTGATCGTATAAAAAAGGTGAACATATAATTCAATTATTTATTTGATCATGCAAATGCTACTCATTTAAAACCGGACCCCTCTTCACAGGAAAAATCATAAAAAAAACCCGGAGCAATTTTGTGTATAAAATACAAACAAAAAGCTTGATAAATACTCGTGCTTATTTTAATAGCCATATTATATCAACCGTAAACATTGCACCAGATATGCTTGGCTTTACTTTTCTTAGTCCTTTTAGAATGCTCTAGCGTGGACGTTTGCCTGCACAAAGACTTACGGTTGCCGGCTGACCATTATCCAACTCACTCTGTTTGCCTCAAGCTGATTGAAGACGAACTCGATTACGACCTCGTCCTCGATGCCAAGAAGCTGGGTGATCTTTTCGGAGATCCAAGGTTTTAAAGAATCAAGTTGTACCCGGTTCATGTCGACCTTCGTCGCCAACGCTTCATGGAACTTCAGAGACTTCAACAGCTTCTTCTGCTTATCAGCGAAGCGATTATCCTGCTCAGCGCTCGTTCCCTATAAAATACAAACGTTTGAAGTTTTATTCCTTTCAGAAATTAGATTTGACAACAATATTATTCAAAAAAATCTTTAGATCTGATACGTTCTCTAAAAAAAAAATTTCTTCTCAAGTGAAGGAAACGACAGTGGTCATTCGATGATTAACTTGGCTACGAGAGATTTCACGTAACAATAAATTACAGCGCCTCAAAGCGCTCAGCTTCCAAGTATAAATTTAATCAGGTATGAAGAAAATCGAATTCAAATATTTGACTATTTTTTCACGCTTGAATAGCTAATAGACAATCTTTAGTTAATCCTGTAGCGAGATCAGACGGTGTGATTTATTGTGGGGAAGTCTGTGCAAGAAGACACGCCTGTACTTCGAGTCAACCTAATTCAGCCCATACCTACGTAGTATTGGGTGGAGTTAAAGGAAACACTTTTTTGCCCGATCAAAATTCATCTGGGCCGAAAGAAAGTTCTTACCCCGCCGCAGTGCTCGGTAATAAAGTTCCTGTAAACACAATCCTTCTTCCTTCATTAAAACAGCGCCCAGGACCATTGCTTTAGCGCTCAGCCGATTGGTTTTCAAATTCTTCTATTTACATGCTTGTGCCTACTGCTTTAATTCGAGCATTTAGTTTTTGACGCTACAACGTGTGCGTTATGACGGAGCGTCTAATCAACCCATTCGAGATCGCGCTAAAAGTATTTGTGTAGACGCAGCTTAAAAGTGAATACAGTTTGGTATATTTAGATAATTCGGATAATTCGGAATTAAGCTTCACTCGGTCACCTTTCTAATAATATTCAAAGATTCATATATATATATATAGGTTAACAGGGTAACGTCTCGATACCAGGGAGTAGGTAAAACTGTTTAAAACATTTTGCGTCATATAGGTAATATAAGTTTTGTTGAGTTTATAGGACTAATTCAAAGGATTTACTAGAGAGATAGTACGAGGAGGCAACGAGGATGGCATGATATCTATGACAACTTTTCCCGCATCCGAAGCAGTTACATATACCGGCTTGTTTACCTATTTTTTTGCAGAATCTACGGTGGAAGCCATGCACAATAAAGCCAATTCGTTCCCTTTTTCTTGGCTATTCATCATCACACCCGAAGCAAAGAAACCTCCTTCGATCTGCGTAAATTTTTAATCCTAGTTTCTATAATTGGTCTTGAAATTTTTCTTCGCTAGATGGTTGGAGCGGCAATCAAGGTTTTCGATAGCATTGGCTAGCCGATTATGAGATACTCGAGGCAATTTTGAATCACCAGGTGTAGTCCCTATGCGCTTTTGAGAAGCGATGTTTTACCATGATTCGATTGCTCGAGATTCTCCATTGTAAGATCTTTCCAAGTGACGCATATATCGTACGTTGAAGTCAATCTTGAAGAACTGCCTCGGAGACAGACAAGCCGACAGTAGTCGCGAGGAGCAAGGAATGAGGCGATTTGATTGCCCATGTAGCCAAAACTACCCTCTATCATTTTTCAATGACGTGTGCAGTGAAACTTCTGCTGGTTGCGGAGAAGAGCGATCCCAACTATCGAAACCAGTTTGCAAAAGCGACCTGGTGAGGCACAAGAATCAATGACCGCTGTTTCTTCTTTTCATCACCTTTGTCGTATTCAGGTTCACGGTTAATCTCAAATCTGTAAGTGCCGCGTGGCGACGGGCTAGAGCTTACTGTACTTGGAGCCTGTTCGACATGTATATCACGAAGTCATATGCATACAGGATGACTTTGACTGATATCCTCGGTTTTCGGAATTGATCAGGGAGGTCCCTAAGCAAGATGGAAATACAAAAGGAGTGTGCTTAGGTTGTCTCCCTAAGGCAAACCAGTTGTGTATGAGAAACGAATGTTCGGTCGATGTTTCCACAAATCAATTGGTATGTCTCGAATCAGAGTTGCTTCACTGGGCACATGTACTGCTACTTTGCACTCAAGCACTAAGGAAAAAGCGCAGTTTCTAGATAAGGTAACACTAGCACATGAGTTTTTAGAGCATTGATGACCGCAGGTTAGGTTTCTAATGCGCATTCTATGGGCATTGCCATGGTGACCCGTAGCAGGCGGCTATCGCTTGCTTAGATCTCATCGTTGGGAAATGATTACCATGTCATGTGACTAGCATGTCGCTTGATGGATGTGTTGGCAAAGCCCCAGGTAAGTCAAGCAAGAGCCACCTCGGTTGAACTTTCTAAAAAAGGTAAGTCTTTTATTCTACACCCAAATGTTTATTTATTTCGATAACTTTATCATACAGTAAAAATTATTTATAGCAGAAAATAAGCCGGCATAAACACTCCAGAGTAAAACATATCTGGAGTGCAAAAGAATGTTCGTATCCGATGGCTGTGCTGCTTTGTACATGAAAATAGGATCAGATGAACAACGTACGAACTACTCGACCAGCGTGGTCACAGCTGCAGGACGCTGTGTGGTATGACGACCTATATTTGAAGGCCTGCTGCCTTTAAACGCAGCTTAGAATTTGGATTATAAATGCGGTATTTGGATCTAATCAACGTTTTATTTTGTTGTTGGTCGAAAATTATCATAAGTATTTAGACAGAAAAAAAAAGCGAAGCGTGATGCGAGAATATAGATAAATATTTTAGTATTAATTTTCCATTTATTTAAAATTTATTCAACCTCACATATGAGTGCTTCTGTTAATGACTGAAAATGAACGTTGCAGATGTTGCTATGTACGATTTTTTTATACGTGAATCAATATACTACAATTTCTCTAAGCAGGTATAGCTCATACCGGAGGCTCTTTGATGTAATTGTAACCTTTATACGCTATAAATTATCGTCGAGGTTTTGATATTTACATCCAAACGTAAAATATTCCGATACACGCGTATGTAAACAAATTCTGATGTTTCCCAACACCGACAGCTTTAACCTGGATGTTTGATGACCTAGGTTGATTAAACAAGTTCTCCTGAACAGATCGAAGTTCAAGTCCGTTGCTTACACTCATTCCGCTATGATATGCTTATGAATTATGTAAACAAATATGACTGCAGCCATCACAGGAAGCTCTAAGTGTCAAAATGGTTTTTCCCAAAATTCAAGCAATAAAAGGCTATAAACTCCAATTCATCAAAATTTATCGGCTTTAAAGATCAACACGCTCCCATGTTATACCAAGTTTGCGATAATACAAAAAGGTAGGTTTTTTGTTTATTTTTTTTGCTAAACGTTTTTTCTAATGGCCGCAATTCTGGCCCAAGGCCTCGCTTGCGCCCATCAAACAAAGCGAACGCAAGCGAAAACCTCTTCGTGTGCTAAAACTAATTGTGATTAAAGTTTATTCCTTCGCACAATCCATGTGCAAGACCCAAATTCCGTTAATCTATTTTGCATCTACAACAATCAGGCACTGAGAAAGCAGCTCACAGAATATGCTAAAACGATTTCTGGGGTGTCTGTTTGTGTTGATGCCATACTGGGTGGACACCCATGTTGTTCGTTGTACGCACAACATCGGGGATGCCGTGTATATAGTATCAGCATAGTGTGATAACTGCCGCCGTGCGTGAGCGGAAATTTATCCGACGAATAGTTCGTACATACCCTGAAAAAACCGGCGTCCGTCATCGCGACGTTGGGAATGCCGCCCTGGCGGCTTGCACACTTCACTTAGGCAATATGGGTTATCGCTTAACACGCACAAAAACCAGACACCGTAACAGAGGCAACGAGCCCGATCGCACGCACAATCGGCGAGAATGATCAGAAGTTACACCCGGGGAGAGCTGCCCGGGATGGTCTGCAGTGGACGCTTATCCATCCAAAACGGTCACAATATTCGATATACAATGATGGTAATTTTGTCTATCATAAGCAGTAAAGTCTATACGCATTGGGTTATGTCCCATGCGAAAACCTTTGCAGGTTATCTAGCATCCGATGTGTAATCCAGCACTTGAAAGAGGTCCTGATTCTCAAAAAAACTGAGTCGACGAAAGTATTCCGCTAGCGACATTCGCCCGCTAAACAGTAACCACCAACGGGCGGTGTCGCTGGATACCAGCGTGTTCTGTCATCAATCTGCCTGTGGCGTTCGCAAAATAAGATTTGACTTTTTTTTTAAAAAGTGTTTTTAGGCTAGTCGTTGTGTTCGGCCGTGGCCTAGATAGTGAGCCAGTGAACGGCGGGTGTTAGTGTCTTTTCGGGGCGTGGTTGACATTTACACGAGAGAGGAGTATTTCTACATATTCGTAACAGTATGGGTACGTTCCGCATAGGTTCTGCTATAATCAGCACTGGAAGACGACCACTATCTAACAGGGTCTACTGGGACCACCCCCCATCAGCAGAAGTACCATTAATTCCATAGAGTAGCAGTATGGTTAATGCTCGAATTTTTCCGGCTCTTATTACCGGTGCTACCATTCACAGTACCACTAATGCAACACTAGTGTACCACTACCACATTAAATGGATATTGTAGATGTCGTTACGGAAGAGCTCCATAAGCCGAAGGGTTTTATTACTGCTCGTAACACCCTGCTAGAGTACTGTGTGTATGTCATCTTCTAGCCGGCTGCAACCGGCTTTTAACGCATGAAACATCTCATTCCCCGCATGTCTGTCAACGTTGGATGATCTAACTAGATAACCGGAATTTTTTGAGTATGTGATGTGATGAGTACCATTCCTGTAGGCAAAATCATCATAATAAATCAGCTCGTTATTGTAAAATTAAATAGAACAGAAACGCAAGAAATATATCAAGCGAAAATAATAAGCCGGAATAATAATATTATTTTTACAACAACAGTAACTACAATAACAGTAGCAACAACAGCAACAATTAAAACAGCAGCAGCAACAGCAACAACAATAAATCGGGGGGAGCAAAAGGTGGTAGGATAGTAATAAAAAAAAGGCCAAACTTAGCCATATGACCACCTGTTCAAATTGCTGATACGGTATTGTTTCCAGGCGGGGTAATCAGCTATTTTAGGAGCCTGCTGGGCAGCAGAGAACTTCGAATTCTGATCCTCGGACTCGATGGTGCAGGAAAAACAACTATACTATACAGGTAGAGCAATAGGATATTTATTGACGTACGTCTATAAATATATATTTTTCCTTTAATGTTTCTTATTGAGTAATTTAAAAGTGGAAAAAGCAATGAAAGTGTTTATGGACAATAAATATGTCTGACCAAATTAAGGAGCGTTATTTTATCTATGTTGGTTGGCTTAGGTTAATTACCAGATGCTTATCTAAATGTGAAAGTGGCAGTAATTTCAACTGCGCTTGAAGTTGTATGTGCTACACACCTCATTTAAGAACGTCCGCTTGATACTTCAACCAGGAGTGAGTGACGTGTTAGAATCTAGCCAGGACTACGCTGGCGATGTGTGATTAGTAGTAAGGAGGGTAAAAGTGCTAACGTATTTAAATACTTCTTAGGGTACACGTAATTGAACGCATCTTTTAATTTAGGCTTTGTTTGAAAGACAAAAGTTTATGCCTATACATCAGAAAAAGAATGCTAGAGAAATTAGACGAGGTATGCTCTTTTGTTTTGAAAAATATTTCGCCTGTTTCAGAAATTTAAATTCTGAGGAGAATAACGAGCAGCACCTACGTTGGTGTATACTTTTCCTTAAAGCTACAATCCACCTTGTCTTTGTGGTTGCAGATTACAGGTTGGAGAGGTTGTGACGACGATCCCCACGATTGGGTTCAACGTTGAACAGGTAAATTTCAAGAAAAGGAATGTTATACTATAATATATACAATTTGCATTTCACAATTGTTACTTTTTATAAACTAGTGCAAACTGTCGAATTATACTGAACTAATGACTACACAAATTGTTTCAAAACTCGAGCTCAATTTTTAAGGCGGTGATCAAAGCCAGTAAATAAAACATATTTTCAATGAAATTACACAATATCGAGTGTTTCTTTCAGGTAAAAATAGAAAATCCTGAAAAAGACGTGACATGTATAATTTTGCGAAAATTATGACGTGCCAAGAATATTGCCTTGGTAGAAAAAGAAAACACGTGCCGGTAAAGGGTAAATAGTTATACCTTTCTGAACTCATTTGGTTAAAGTACCTATTAGCAAAAAGTCAAACAAAAAATTAATATTCGTTACACTTGTATTATATATGTAAAAACGAAATTAAACATGGGCGCAGAACTAAGACAATGTGCATAAGACTAATGCTTCACTTTTTGTTTAGTACCATGCAAACGCCTATAGAACTGGCGAAATACTGCAACAGTCATATGAAGCTATCTGATTCGGCACATTTCGATATTTCGATATCGACGTGCAGAATTCAACAAGAGAGTTACAGCCTAAAAAGGCAAACCATTGATTATTCACTGCAATCATCCGAAATAACAAGTTATGTAAATATAAGTGAAGAATCTCTTCAACAAAGTTCCTTTTTTGTCGTTTTTGTTAATGGGAGCCTCTTTCACTTGAGATTGTCTTCATCGATTAGAAATAAAAAATGTAAAAAATGTTACAATATTACCCCCACAAGTGGAGTTTTTTTTTCGGTATTCTGGTAGCCCGATTAATGCATAGATATCGGTGTCCAATGGCGACATTAGAAAAAGTGCTTAAATTATTACCCTGAAGGTATGGCCTCAAGTTTTTAGAAATACTCTATAACATGTTTTTTTTCAGATCGCTATGAATGCTAATTGTCAAGTTGTGACATTCCTTCATATAACACATTATGCGACGGATAGTAGTAACTACACGAAAATAAGTTATTAGCTGGAATGAAATTATCAAGTGATCGTTATTAATTGTATTTTCTATCTATTTTATTTGTTTGTAATTAAATGTTGCTGTCCTAGGTAACGTACAAGAATTTGAAGTTCCAAGTATGGGATCTTGGGGGTCAGACGTCAATCCGTCCGTACTGGCGTTGCTACTTCAGTAACACCGACGCGATCATTTACGTGGTCGACAGTGCAGACCGAGATAGAATCGGCATATCCAAAGAAGAGCTCGTCAGTATGCTTGAGGTTAGCTATTCGATGGGGTGATTTTTGTCGCTCATCATTTTTTTTTATCATTATTATAGCCATCGGCATAGTACACACGAGCTTTGCAGTGGGATACCAAGTCGCCGATTATAGGACGGTATCCATTTAAATATACGAAACTTCATGCGATTTTAGAACGGATGAATAGATAAGAGTGCTTCCATCGATATAACAGTAAACGGTAGCGACTAACCAATTGCTGTGTTGTTTACTTGGTTTATCTCAACAGGAAGAGGAATTAAAAAAAGCAATCCTTGTTGTTCTTGCTAATAAGCAAGATATGGCTGGAGCAATGAGTGTCTCGGAAATGCACGCTGCTTTAGGTTTGGACGCGTTGAAAGATCGTACGTTCCAGATCTTCAAGACGAGTGCGCTCAAAGGCGATGGTCTTGATGAAGCTATGGAATGGTTAGTATCTATGAGCAAGTTCAAATGATGTTCACATTGCCATGTAATAGAATGCGCTCTAACAATTCCACTATTCAAAAGTTCAGTTAGGTCCAGCTTATTGTCAGAAGCTCTTTAGATGGCTTAGTTGACCTAAAGAGTTTCTACTGATGTTTTCTAAAGAGTGATTAACTTTGCCTATTCATCATGGTGAATGTTTACTTCATAAATCTACTACATTAAAGCTTTGTGATAGTTATAAGCTAACACTAAAATCGCTAAAGTTCTAAAAATGTGATATCATTTTCTGACTGAAATCGTCCCTCCAAATAACGTGTTATAATAAATCGTGTCACACGTACTTTTTTTAATTATTTCTGTAGATAAACAACTGACAGTTGAGAAATGCATTTTGTATCTAAGATATAGCATAATATAATATTAATGGCAGTTTTTAATCATGTTATTATTCTCAGGCTATCCAACGCATTAACAAACGGTGGAAAGTGATCCCGCGTACCGCAAACATACGAGGTCAACCAGCGATCAGAAGTGTCTCAGCGCAATGAAACTTTTGCAATCAAACGCAAATCTAAGGTTTGCGTGCGACAGTACAGCTTAAAGAGGTTCTATATTTGCCTTTACATTTTGGGGTATTAACATGTCTCTCTGATCGTAGCGTACGAAAGTAGGTACACGACAGGATGCCTAGTTCGTAGTAATACAGTATGAAAAATAAGCCGGTGTAGACATTGACAATTTGAATGCCTTATGTGATGATCGTGGTGGATGACGATGAAAATGTAGAGTGACTGGAACAAAAAATGCTGATGTGTGCAACTACAATAAATAAACGCCGAAATGCTATCTATAAAGTATAATTAGTGGGCCTGTGAGAGAAAAATGAAGCAAGTGGACAAAAGAAAGAAATGAAAGATATATATATATATAAACCCTTTCAAAATAGAAAGTGTCGCTCTGCTAACAGGAGGGTGCTACGTAAAGGATTTTGCCTTGTAGCGGCAGCTGCTAACTGTATACTGAGACATAAAGAGTTTCTGCTAACTACAGCCCTCAGTAGTACGAAGTCGTGACGTTTGGGTATGAGGATCGACCTTGACGAGAACGGAGAAAGGTGACTTTTACGGTTCTCTGACTGACAGGGAACAACAATATGTTGTGATGGCATGACGCATTGCATTATATTTCTTTATCTAGACGCGCGGATGAATACTGTTATTAAAATATTATTAAATTACTAGATTATTATATTGTCATTATTGCTATAAGTATACTTATTATAAATACTATAATTATTTTTAATTAAGCTTTCTGCAAAGCAAAGAAGATGTAATGAATGTGTGTTGTATATACGATCATGAAAACTAAAGCAGATCGAAATGTTAACCGAACATAAAAGCGGACGAACCAATATGTCTGAGGGTTGTTCTCTGCTGAGATCGATTAAAAAAGTAAATTATTAGGCAATATAAAGGGATCCTGCAAGTGGGTATTCATGTTACGATCCGATCGCAATCATAAAACGAGATATGCGTATGCACAATATTAGTAGTGCAAGTAGATCAGGAATCATAGAACAAGACATGAAAAATGCGTGTCAAACACATGCGCTGACGTGAAAATCTTATGCTAAATAACGAGTATACGGCTTTGAATATTTCTCGTAGATTACAAATTTAACGTGGTATAAATCAAATTTAACTAACGATGCAAATCAATGTGGTCGTCCTCCGAGCAACTGATGCAAAGGAATCAAGGAGATAATGCCGTGGAAGAACGTTTGCAAGGCTGAATAATTTTGAGGTATATCATTGATTGCAATGAAAGGTGAGCACAAAAAGCAGAAAGAGAATAATAACAAGTGCTCGAATTGATCTGTATAATTATTATTAGTGAAATGGCTACGAACGAAAATTACTGACGGGTACGGCCATTGTCGAGTCGAGTGGTATTGCTAACTCACAAATTCTATCATGAGTATGCAGAAATAAACCATGTAAGAGCATAACCAAAAGATCAGTATACGTGGGAAATAACCAAAGGGCGGCATCGAAAAATCAACATCCGAAATGCTGCCATTAGTACTAGAATTAGTGCTATTGGCAGTTCTTATTAATAAAAGACGAAAGCCAAAGAAGATATAACTTTCAGAGCTCTATACTTGGCGGTTAAGTGAATACCAACCGATTCGTTGTTGCATCGCTCAGGTACTCTGAACTTCGATACCAATCGGTTCATTACTACTGGACAATACTGTATGTCTCAATGGCTCACGGTAAACGATCCCAAAACTGCTAACGATGATCACGGCGACGATAATGATAGTAGTATTAAGTGTCCTTTAGTAGAATTGAGGATGGTAAGATAAGATAAAAATGACGTCACCGCGAACGATTGCAACAAGGAGTAGCAAGATCTGCGAGAGTAAAGTATATATATGAATCGATGAAAAAGGGTAGAGCGCGGACGAGAGCGTGATATAAATCATGAAACAGTAAAAAAAGGGTGAGTAACGTGGTACAGCTAAACTATGGGAAAATAGAATAAAGATCACGGTGAAGACAGGTGCAACGCCTACGAAACGAATTTCGGTCAAACAGGAGGAAGAGAGAGAAATAAATATGCGAGGGTGTTTGTTGAGATGAAAATGTTCTTATTGGGGCCCCAAAGTGAACCCCTATACAGTGTTTAAATTATTTAGCGGGTATTCTAGTTAGGTTGTGTCATTTTTTTATAATGGTGATCTCCCAATATTTTGTGTTATTCTTATATTCTGACTATAGCTAGGGGCCTTGAATTGTACGAATAATGTATAAATCATCTTGTACAATGAAGTATTTTTTGTTATCTATCTAGTTAAATTCAAGTAGACTATTGTATATATTTTATATATAAATAATAATAAAGTCAAGTCATATTTGATTTTTTTTGCGATAAGTAGAAATCTACCTTTGCTTACGTAGAAGTCATATAAGTGAATCTGGTGTCGAGATTTGAGAAAATATCGTTCATATTAATATAACGTGTAACCTATACATGAATAGCTTCAAGCACGTTCGCGACGTTGAGAGAAGACGTTGCGAGTGATGCTCTTAAGACTTATAGTTGCAAAATTTCTCGCCGTGTGCATCTGTATTTAAAACAAGTCGCAGCACCGCAAAATGGCAATCCGTATTGTATTTTTTGATTGGCATAACTATTGCTGCAATAGAACCAAGCTAAATTCAAAACTTTGATTTGGTGCTGCTGAGAAACCAGTGCGTATCACCTAGCCAAAATAAGCTACAGATATGTGTGTTGAAATTAACTTTAGTGCCCTACATAGTATTTCCCCATTTATGATTTTTGGATGACCGTAATTTTTTTAAACACAATACGTTTCGTTTTCATAATGATTGTTAAAATAGACAAGATAATAGAAATCGCTTAAATTTTAGTAAACAGTATCGTAAATCACTCAGTCTAATTAGGAGCATGTATACTATTATAAGTACGTATAGAAAAAGGTTAGAACCACAATTGCATAACTAGCTATGCGTTACCTTCTGCGAAAACAGTCTGGTCCAGGATGCTATTCAGGCTTGAGCTGAGAGGGCTAAGTCGGTAATAGTAACGCATGAACTTCTACTGTTCCTGACGGGTCGTATAACGAAACATCAGAGCCTTAGTGACGGAAGGCTAAGCGACGAACAGCGAGAACTTCCGGACGAAATACGATTAAAATGCAGCTACTGCAAATCACTACTCTTATTCCTTTGTTCTCGGGCTATCTATCTCGCTAAATTAAAATGTGTAATAATAAGGTCTTCTTCCAGCCTTCAACTGATAACGGCTGATACACCCGTCGTCAATATAATGACATATGATGAACACGAACTGCTGCTGCTGTCCTCCATTGCGGTGTGGACGAATGGACGACGATGGTTTGCTGATGAATGAAAGGTTGCTTTCCCAATGAGGTCGATGAAATAGTATCGGCGGCCCAATGGCCTAGTGTGCCTGTTACAATGGGACCTGCCTGGACTCCGGTTTCGTAGAGCAGGCAATGCAGATTACGAGAACGGCGGTTCCGCACTGTCATCGAGAACCGCCGCCGGTGATGTGACTTAATGAATTTACAACGATTGACCTGGCCGTACCGACGAAGGTGACAGAAAGTTCACTATTAAGGTCGGCTGGACTGTCTCTACAGTATTATTATCCCTATAGAACGCACTGTCAGCCCATGCTCGCCAACCCATTCTGCACTCTGTAACTGCCTGTTCTCTCATATGTTCACTATTTACAGCTATTCCTCTGTCGCTTGTGGCGGCACAAACCGAGGCAGCCGGTAGCTTCGGCCAGATTATACGGTTGGGTCAAATTCTCTTATACCAGATAACGAGTGCGCAATGGCGTAAAAGGCTCCGGGCACATTGTGGCCGTTGCATGCAGGTTATCAGTAACATGCGCGCACCCGTTGAGCGATACGCTTCATCAATGATATCTTTAATTCTACCTCGCTTTCGCTTGTTTGCTTTGTTGATTTTTCTAGTTATGCAATCTTCTGCAAGGCCTCATATAGGTGATTGGAGAAAATACAGAAGCACAAGGCAACCGAATTGATGTATTCATTGGCTATTTGAGGATATGCGCATTCAGTCGAATCGTTTCTCAGTAGCGGTAATATCCACCTGTACTGTCTGCTCAACAATGGTAAATGGTTATTTTCCCCTGAAGAGAGATTTGAAATAAGCTAAACAGAAGCCTTAATTAAGACAGGCCTGCTTTGCTACTAGCCAGGTTGGCTTTGAGCCTATCCACACGAAGCGAGTTCCTTTTTTCAGAAGCATTTCGAAAGCGCAACAAGACATCACTGTTAATAGAAGTTCTGACAGATAAATATGCAGACGTGGGACTTCAGCGCGATAAAACGAAGTGCGTAAAACCAAGATCCGAGCAACGAAATAAAAATTGAGCCTGGTTGTATCAGACAGTCACTATCCCAGTTTCTGTAAAATGTGCTTACTTCACATTACAAGATTCAAAATATTTCTTTATTGCCATTTACTGAGCTACTGTTTACACAACAGACCGTTAGATTAAGGAACTTTATTTTTATAAAAACATAAATATATATGTATTCATATATACGTATTTAGTAAACGACGCTTTCTATCACGTCCACTCATATGACTAATCCCTACCGACCAGTAAAGCCCACTATATGGCTCAATATATCTTACCAAGTCTCATAGCAGACACAGGCATTCTTCCTGTATCATTGATTAGTATCACATTTATTGATAGCTTTTATGAATGTTGCCGTACTCTTACAATCTTACTAAACAGGCTCGCTTCATTGTAAATTGCAGTAAAATTTCTTATAGTAAGAAGCATAGTTTCCAGTTTGTTATGTATTTATACTATATAATTTCATCTGTCTATCGAATGTATTCATGAAGCAGATCATTATCTTACTATCAAAGCGTTTGTTTATTAGGTTAATTAAGCTTTACCAGTAAGCTATTTGACGTGATGTACAATCGTTTCCCCTCTTTGAAGAGCGTGTTACTTACAGATTTATCTACAATAAACTATTCCAAAAAACCTTTGTTACACTTAAAATGAATGGCTTGCTTAAAGAACGATTTTTAAGTATTCAGAAATACAGAATAAATATGTCAACGTACTCAACGCTGCTCCTATGTATCTTATGTGTTGTCCTATTTGGCCTACCCTATTCGTTGCCAGTGGATGAATTGTCAAAGAAAGACAATCTCACTACATAACATATCTGTCCTAAACGGAAGACAGCAATTTTTCTTTAGTAGATATAACTTAAGTATATCATAATTATTTATTATCATCATCTTCGATTGAAGACCCATTAATCGAGCCACCGATCAACAACATTCGCGACACCCTGTATACAGTCGACACATCATGGAATTGTTGTTAGTGGCTGATGTCGGATCGTTGTTGCAAGCGAGAAAAAAGTCCGATGGGTACTACTGGGTAAAAAGTGATATGGAAGCACACGTCTCGCAGCTCTACTTTAGTTATCGTTGTTCACCGGAGCTTGGGTCTGGGTCACTGGTAACACGCTCAGGGAAAGGTAAGCGAGGAGGTGGTTATTAACGGTCCCAGAGGGAAATCAGGCCGTGATAACTCTAGAAGTATTTCAGCCGAATCCATCGACTAGAGTTATGGCAAATGAGACATCCACAAACTACAAATAAGGCCACTTAAGAGCTACACACAGTAGGTTACATCAACAGAAATTTAGGTAGATAAAGAAAGTAATAATGGGGAGCAAAAATATACCGGTAAAACCGGGCCGTTATTCACACTAACAATAATAAACGCGTATATAATTAGATATATGTCCACCACAACAAAGACCTCCTGAGCTGAACGAGGGAAATGATTAAGTTTTGGTATATTGATAAATGGAGATTCGCTCGTTGTCAGGGAACTTAGCTAGACCCGTGGTAATGTATCAGCGACCGTTTCCGTTCGCGTGAATAAAGTGAGTCGCCATTTTCTTAGTGAGCCATCGCCATCCGTTGGAACTGTCTGCGATTACCGCGTGAATAACTTCCGCGGAAGAAACTTCTGCGTCCTGGTAAATAGGTTATACCGAAAGTTTCTTTATTCGCCTGCATCATCTGACGTCGCGTGAGGCGTTGGTGTCCTTCAGTCTCAGTGGTCATCGATAGATTGTCATAGAAACTTTTATCTTGATTATAGACAGGCTCTTTTAAATCGTGAATAGAATCACTATTTGTATTATCTTTGCCGTCATCCTTTGCATCTCCCTTGGCTCTGTCATCTTTGATGCTAAGCTCCTTAAACTTCTCGTGCGCCTGATCAAAGTCAAAGTCATCTGTGTATAACTTTGTCGAGTTTTCCGATACTTGGAACTTGCCAACGGGTTGCCTGCGCTGGGTTCGAGAAGGCGAATTTGGTGTTCGGTCAGCCTGACGTCGATTCAGATGAGCGGGAATCTGTGGGATACGCGTGAATTGGCGATTTCCGCGGTTTGAGCTGCCTGCCGAAAGCGAATCGGTAGTGAAGGACACATGGCGCGAGTTCTGCAAAAGTTGCAGAAAATGATAACGATGGTGGTCATTCCAAATCACTCCGGGACGTAACAAGAAACACCTAATCAAAGTTGATTGCGCATGTTCTAGCAAGATCTATCTTTTTTCTGTTACTGCACCTGTTAATTTTACCACCTGAATGATGACGACCGTCTATCCCAAGACCACAACCATCACTGATGGCTTTGAAGTCCAGCCAACGTGGGTGACTCACCTTGTTTGCGTTGCGGGCCTGAATCTGTTTCTTGTTCTTGCCACTGCCGCTCGCAGCTCGTCGTTGGCTCCGGTGTTGATTTTGATTTCCGTTGCGATGTGCGTTCTGATTTTTGTTGCGGTTAACTTGTTTCTGAGGGCTGCCATTCTGCTTCCTTTGGTTGCCTTTGATGGAGCTGTTTCCATTCGAAGCTGCTTCCTTCATGAGAAGGTTGACGTCGACGCGCCGTTGACGAGGGCCTCCGACACCAAACAGACTCATTACGGAATTATTAATCTGGCGTTTTGGTGGACGAATGGACACTTGCGAGTTTGGAATTATCGAGACAATGGCTGGATCTTGGTTCATGTGACATTCTGGATCTACGTAGGCAAACATTGGAGACCGATACGATACAGAGCGATACCAATTCGGCCGATCGACGTATCGGTGTTGGGTAAGTGATCATCCGTCGTTGTAATAATCATCACAATCAGCATCAAAAAGGGGCAGTTCAAAAAATAGGCGACGCATTAGTTCGACCTCAACGACCATCATACGACACTGCTTGATAGCCCTATCAATTACTCAACATCAGATGGATCTGATTTACGATTTGCCTATGTTGACGAAATAACAATGTCACCGTCAAATAGCCTAGAATTTTAAACGGCCTCTCTTCGACTATTGAAGATCATATGTAAGCGAAGATGATGGCAACATCTTATGTGTTTAAAAATCTAACTACATTTGAAACAAAGGTCAAAATGACCAGAAGTACATAGGCATGTAAAATCCTCAGAGATTAGCATTTGTACCTGTGAGGTCACATTGAAGGTCACCAAGAAGAAGCAGAGATGAATCTACACATTTTCACCTTAACAAATACGTCAGTGTCGAAGCGAAGGAATATCAAACAATTTGCGTGCTTATATGTACGTGCTGTCTGAAAGGTTACTTTCACTCACTTAAAACTTTGATTGAGGAGAGTGACAATCCGTCGAACGTAATACTGGGTACTGGGTTCGGTGATGGCGTAATGGTCTGTTCGACCTGTCGGTTTTCCGTTCCTAAACACCACACTGTTACAAATAGAATTTGAAGAGCTGTTAGGATAAGCAATCTCCATGAAGAAGTTCCTCTTGTATTCATTCGCCTTAGACATCGCCTATTGACATAGTGTTAGAGATGCTTGCCTTAAGTTAGATTCCTTTAGTGTAATACTTCATCGAAATCGAATGTACATACACTTCGACAGTAACGACCGCTATTTAATTTCGATCGCCGTAATTGGCAACGAACTGTAGCTGCAATAAAATCTCATCTAATCTCCTCGTTCGATTATCGGCTCATAGCCAGCTAATCAGAACCACGTGCGCTACGGTCTTGGAGCGATCCAGCAGAGCGCATGTTTATCAAACACTTTCAAACCATGCTTGAAGAACTCACCGTTTTCCAGAGTAATCGTACTATCTTGGAGACTGAATGAAGTCAGCGTCCCCTCGAAGCGCGCACTTCCCTTGGTGATGACCGAGAGTTCTCTCCCAAGGGCATCGTAAAGGGATCCAAACTGTGTCATGTTGCCCGTCTCCACTTGCTATGTTCTGTGAAAAATCTATGACCTGTACAAGCTAGGTGTCTACAGCTAAATGAAGGCGGCGCGAGATTCGACTCGCCTATCAACAGATTGACAAGAAAAGAGACGGTATGCACGTGTTGGGCGTTTTTCTAACAGAAAATTACTGTGGGGGCGCTAATGGTCAAGCTCAAAGGGTTTTCGTACTACGTTGCAGCCTTTTAGAACGTACATGCGCGTGTTACGTCTATAGTAGATCCGCTATGCAGCGCTTTGCACGTATGTTTGACGTGTACACATTTAAACACATACAGACGTAGCCAAATGAGAACAATCACTTACTGTCGTCATTAAATTATTTGATCTAGCGCCGACAAGCAACACATTCGATTCGAACGTGAAGCCCTGATTGAGTGAGCTCACAGGTAAATAACGTCTGTGATCTGCCCCAGCTTGTCGTGACAGAAGATCAACCAGGCGACGCTGTAGATTGGGGTACATAAATATTGGTCGTTGATGAATTGCGTTTGCGGAACATTGGCAAACTTAACATTGACTGCTTAATTTTGCTGCATCGAGTAAAGTGGGCTTGAAGAAACGAAACATATACCTTTATACACAAAGCTTCTTTATGTAAGTACGGATAATATTGTCTCCAGTACCTTTTCTATTGCGTTTGTCAGAATCGATAGTATTTGCTAATAATATGGGATATCATAACAATTTCACAATGAGATTTAAAATTATGAATATGTTACGAATAAAGATATATCTACTCATGTACATGGGTTGTGTTGTCATTTTACATGATTTTCCAGTTACATTGTTACCGTAATATTTTTGTTCTTTTATAATGAACGACAGTAGCAACAAATACGTAATCATTCTCATTTATTTAGCGCTCCGAACATTGTTTCCGTAAGACAGACCTTAACATATCGGTTATATCATATTATTAATAGCAGTATTATTCAAAAGATCAACATCATTTGCGGTATGCTATTCAACCAGCCAGCCAGTCAGTCAGGCAGGAACGTTACGTTCGCATTGTAGCGCATTTAGTTCTGGGAAGACCTAACGTTGTCCTCAGCATTGTAGGACGCCCTCTGTACATACATTTGACGATCCAAAATCATACAGTTCAATTAGCAGCATTTGTGACCTTATTTACTGCTTTTTATGCTAGTGATCGTCAATCGCTGCTCACTCCCCATAACCCGTCGAGTAAGTATCGGTCACAGCTATATCCGATGCTATTACCATGTATAAGGAGAGGGTTATTTTATCGTGGCCCCTACTAATGAGGCTGTTAGCTTATCGTTCAAAACCTCGTTGCAGGTCAGCGGGTCCTAACGTGACTGCGCAAAAAACCTGCCTGTTTGAACGCCCTAACCAAAACGCCGTTGACGGCAACAGGAGCTCGGAAAACTTTATGAGACGTAGTTTGAGTCGGGCAAACTCGTTCGCGGTCTCACCTCGTAAGCCCATAGGCATGAAACAAAGCCTAACTGTTAGATTTCGGCAGTCTTACAGTGTTCCGACCAGTCTGGAAAAACAGAAGGCATCTACGCTCGCTCCTGCACTGCTCAAATTTAATAGCATTGAAGATAATAAATCAAGACTGTGCATATGAGCTAGCGACATATTAGGACTCCAAGGAATACGATCACTATGGGCGATCGATCAAAGAACAGCTCAAGTTTTACCGTTAAATGCAACCAAGCCAATTTTCGTATCATGTCTGTGTCAATTTGTTATCAAAAGCATCAGCTGTCTATGATGACGCGAATAAAGTATTACCACGAGTCGGAAATGGTTAAATATGCTCATCAATGAGATTCGACATCGTTATTTGTACGTAAGCTTTACGTGTAAGTATACGTAAAGTTTACATATAAGTACGTAGTAACGAACTTTTATGGAGGATCACCAATAGTAGAGGCTATTGTGATTAAACAGCTTTTGTGAAAAAAAAGTTGTACAAACTTTCCGTTTCGTACGAGTAGTGGTGTGAGAAACTACACTCGTCTGGAGTACCGTACCATTTTACCATAGTGTATCATACACATAGGAGTTCTTCACTTCATGTTTGAATATATACAGGGGGATTAACTCTGCACCTGTCCATAAAGATACCATGTGAAGCGTTTGCACGGTTGTGCAAGTGATTTAGGCAATCTTTTATTGAGTGCTACCTAATTTAGCTAAACACCATATACGTATGGCACAAATGGTTAAACACGAAGGTTCTTTTATTGATGTGTACTTTATTCACTGTGAGTTGAATTTTACCCAGCTATGCTCTTATTCGATCAACATGTAAGCACCAATTTTTCGGCAATTTCCAATTTGTAGGCAAAACCTAGAACACCAGACCAGCGCATCAGGTAACTATGTAAATCAGCACTCCGCTGGTTCAAAGAGATCCTATAGAATGAGTTCTATCAGTTCGATTGGTGAGTTCGAACCGACCTGTTCCAGAGTCTTCCTGTTGATGTGGGAAGCGACAGGCAGAGCCCTTTCAGGGGAAACAATTGAATCGATTGACCCCAACCTTTTATAATTTTGTCCCATCAGACTTTCTCTCTATATCTGTTTGATCCGCTCTAATGGTACGGCAATAGAGAGAAGTCGGATGCGACCGAAGATCGGTAAGCCTGTAATTCGATGGATAATTGTAATAAAATGGTATTAACTTTCCTGCTGTTACTGGATAGCTCTCCCATTGTGGAGGTCGGTGTTTACTTGCCCTCATTGGGTCTACGAGCTCTTCAGCTAGCTGGAGTCTCTAGGGGCTGTACGCTGAGTGGCGCATACACGGAAAACGAGCTGCACGTGCTATCCCCTGTAGTTTTGTTCGTCGAGTCCGCGGGAGACGAACATAGAGCAGCTGTACAAAATCTTGAGTGGTTGGCCACCTCATACAGGAAATGCATGAGGATTGTTTTTACGAGAGATTCAGTTGATCCACAGTCGAAAACTCGCCACAGCCGCGGAGTGATAGTGATTACGTGAGCCGAACCCTCAGATACTATCGGATGAAATGACCTGATACAAACAGTGAAGTAGGGCGAGCAACTCAGTGCACTGAAGTGGCTGCAGTGGAGCACAATCCAACAAGTTCTGTACTCCACATTTGGCCATACGTCAGTAGCCACGAAGTAAAACTACGTTATTTTTCAATCATTTTTCGGTTCTAGATTGCTTTGGTATTCGTATTGCGAAAATGAATGTATCATAAATACGCAAATGATAGAAAATTATAGTTTGTTGCAGCTTGCTGCGATTGAATCATGAATATTAGAGGAGTTCCTAATGTAATACTGGTTGTTTATCTATAAAATATTTCCGACAGTTTTTCACCGAGAAACTACGTTTATATAGTGTTGCGTTCACTAATTATAATAAATACTAATAAATAAATAAATACTACTACACTAATAATATCTACCGTATCACGTGCGCGTTTCGAGTTTTGCACCAGGTACATAAGCCCGTTAAATACTGCTGATCGCTTCTAGCACGAGACGCCCGATTTGAACCTAAACACCACGTGCCCTATATTAACTTATTGCGATAACATAGATATTGTAGTGTTTTAGCCTTATAATAACAATAGAATACAACCATTTTCTCTAAAGCCACATCTCTGCATTGTCAGGGGTAATTACTTATACTAATCTGCTAATTAAAAAAACGATATTTTTCTACAACTGTCATAAGAACAAATCACGACTATCATTATCTGCTCACTTCCCTACGAATATTTTCAAAGTTTGATTTCATTGTTCGAAAAGTAGGGACTTTTAAACAAAGCGTCAGCGCTACACCTATTGCTTTCAATTATAGAGTTACTGTTCTTTAGGACTTCAATATATTAATACCAGTGTAGGCATAGGTGTTTAATGGATATATTTTTTAAAAATATGAATATTAGAAGAAGCAATGACCACATATACGGCACGTGTTATGCCGCTGCACTGATTCGTTATGCAACAGACAAGTGATCTGGCGCGTATTTTCAATTTTTCTTCGCGCGCAGAAATACAACCTTTTTTTTCGTACAGAAAATCGTTAAAAATGAAATATTTTTTATGGTAGCTAGATTCCGATTTACATTGTGCAGCTCGTCTGCTAGTACATGTCTAAGTCATTTGGGAACGGAATAAGGTCTAACAAGACGATTTCAACAAAGATACGAAGGTTAACATCTAGCAAGTAAAGATAAAACGATTCGTATCAAGCCATCGTTTTTGATGTCGAACGCCGCAAACCATCACAGTTTGGTTCGAATATTAACCTATAACGAAATTATTTTTTATATGCATTGTTATATATAGATTATATATATATGTATGTATATATATATATACATACATATATATAGGGAACGTTTTACTTTTTGAAACGCCGTCAAAAACTTCAAAACATTTATCTATTACTTTAAGCGACACGCACTGATTCATTTGTAGATCGATTCCTAGCTATTCTAATTTTTTAATACCTGCTCACTTCAGCCATACTTAAAGCTAAATTGATTACGATTGTTCTCTTCTACAAGCTCGCGATTTAATAAATTTAACGCTTCAATATTTGTTTTAAAAAAACATTGAAAACGTCTCCTGAAAAATAGATGGCCGTTGGTCTTGGTTAATGCAGATTTGTTGAGAAATCTTAACGTATATCTGATCGGAACGTCTCCTTCACAGTGTTCGGTCTAGATGACGTTAGATAATTTTTACCACCATTATATCACGCAGAATGATTGCTTTTTTAAAAAATATTAACGGAATTGTCAGCTGCATTACCTCTCTTAATAATCACATCAGTCCAGTCCAACTTTTAGAGCGCTAGTGTTGTCACTTTGACCCCAGTAGAGGCCTAGCTGCCCAGATAACAAACGGACTGACGATAGTAAAACAGATTTGTCCCTCTTGTGGTCTCTCTGGATAAGGGCACACACTTGTAACGTATAAACGCTTTCAATGGTGTTGTATATCCAGTAAGCGTGTCACTGGGGAACCCTTATGCTCTGTAATATAGTTAGTAGTAGCGGAAGTATAAAAACGCTATATTTCATATAACTAGCTAATGCGTTCAATTAAACACAAGCCC